TTTCTCCGATTTGCAATGGCTTAAGAGAGAAGTTTCCACTTAGAAACATTTATTTTAACGGTTTCAATTAGTCTTCCCATCACAAAGTGTTCAGTGACCCACAACCAGGTCATGAATATTCAAGATTTTTTGGAATATATGTTGAAATCTTCCAAATGTGGACCTCACGCCAGCAAAATGAAGTCCTGAATATTGTACAGGCCAAGAAGTACCCAGAAGTACCCATATTTTGAAGACTTTTTTGTCGACTAAAGATGGCTGAAATTTCGAATCTTTTATCACATTTCAACGCCATGTGTCATAATATATGTGTAAAGCCTGATGAAGGCTACAATCTGTTGGGCGCTTTTGAGAGCGCTTTATGCCGAAGCAATCACTTTGTATTTTCAAAGAGGTTATTTTTAAAAGGAATTTGACTATAATTATTTTAATTCGAAGAAGGAGCGGTGTATAACGGTGTGTTTCAGTGTGAAAAGAACCCAAAGAAAGGTACCACGCAGCATGCAAGCCGGCACAACGTAAACTGAAGCCTACTCAGAATTTGAAAAAGAAACATCAGAAACTTTATTTATTCAAAAGAACAGATCAGTATTCTGGCCAGGACATTTCCTTGAAGATTGCTTGAGTCATTACCGGGTAGACTGTGCTTCAGAGAATTGTTTGTCGCATCGATAGGTTAAATTTTGTTTGTAACTGCCATTGTAAACTTCAGCTCCTTTGAGCGCGATGCTGTAATAAATTCTCCTTTGGTAATTAGCTTCACAGCGTAGCGGATGTTTTGTTGGAACCACTTTATAGATCAGTCATAGTTTTGGTTCTCCTCTGGCCGGGGTTCTCCTAGTGAACCTAGCGAAGCTTATCAATTGCGAGTCTTATAATTTGTGTTTACAGTGCGACCCGGGACCGAGCGCGGCACAAGTAGTTCTCGACAGATCAGTGAAATACATGTAAAACCCTTCTCAGTCAAAGCAACGCTGAAATTCTCCTTTAAAGCACAGTAGATATAAGCCAACTTGATAATCTCAAAAGCAGAAGCTGCTGAACCGAAACATGTTTGGAAACCATCCACATCGTCACTGCGATCGATGTTCACTTCGCGCGTGCTGAAGATTACTGACTATAATGTGTCACGTACGCAGTGATAATATAGCATGAATCGAGGTGCATCATGGGATACTATTCGATCGTCGTCTGGAGAGAGGCTGAGTGTGAACCTTTTTACGTCACGGTTTTGAGTACAAGGTCACGAATGTACAAGATGATTCTTAAGTTATAACAACAAATTAACTAATAATAAAGAATAACAATGAATGATAAAAGAGATTCTAGTCAACACGCGCAATGAAAAGCATTTTCAATAACAAAAGGAGTTTAGGAAATGTGTGTTACAAGGTTTACTGAGCCTAAGAACTCGCAACATTCCAATATGAATAAATTCAATAGTGATTGAAAAATGGTTTTTATAAAAATACAGAAGAAAGCTTTGCAACGAGCTCTAATGTTTGACTAGTTGTTGTCGAGGAGGAAGCACAACGTTCAACAGACTATTCATTTCTACCACCAATTATCATCCTCGAGCCTTATTCTTTTCTGAAGCCGCCCTTCTTGGTGTATGAAGGTTTTACTTAAATTTATTTTTAGCTTACAGAAAACAGGGGCACCAAACGACATTTTCCAAATATCTGTTCGGAAGACGATTTGAGATCTAGAATTTTCGCAACATTTGTTGTAAAATTTCTTGCTTGCCTGCCTCTCCTAGGATTTAAAAATGGTATAATTGCCTATTTTTAACGGATTTTTACCCTAAAAAGGTCAGCTAGAATTTTCGGGAGCCTTTTGTCTGGCTAAAATTTTCGAAAAGGTAAGTTTTGATCCCTATAATTTTCGGATCACTTGACTTTCAGCTAGGAAATCCGAACAGATGAAAAATTTTTATCTACCGTTTACATAATAAAATACGTTTAACAATTCTATGTTTAAGTGGTTTTGAACTATATTCTCGTTGGGTGCCCCTGAGAAAACTAAACACCGGTGGTGAATAGGATCCCACGTCACCGTTATATGGGGATAAAAAGAACATACATGCACCAAAGCAACAAATAAACTGAAATATGAACTTTTTAAGAATAATAATTACAATGAATAGTAAAAGAGAGTCAAAAACGAGATTCTACAAACCACGCACAACGAAAAGCCTTTCCCAATATTATGAGAGAGGTTAATGATAATGATTGTCAATGAAGTTTTATCTAAAAATTCCCTGCTCTTAAAAAACAGAATCTAGTCGAAAAATGGTTGTTTAGAAAATAGAGAAGACGCCTCTGTATTAAAAAGGAGCTTGGACGTGCGAGTAGTTGTTGTCTAAGGAGAAACGACGTTCAAAAGTTTTATTTTTAATACAAATGAATACACCATTTTTTTTTTTAAAAAAAAATATTGATATTTATTTTTCTTAATGATCTTCTTTCATTAATCACTTTTCGTCTTCCTGCAACAAGAACAACAACAAATCCGTTATCAACTTCTCTGCTGTATGATATAGTTTAAAAGGAGTTTTAGTGATCTAAGTATTTAAGTACATTGTGTAACCTCGATTTAACATGCAAAGGGACTGGGGAAATGTGTTAGTTAAGTGGAGGGTTTGCTATATCGAACACCTCTATATAACGAATGCTTGGGAAATGTTACATCGTTAAGCGGAGATGAGGTTATAAGGTGTGTATGACTGTGTATATAAACACTTGGATAGTTTGCCAGACACAAGTTCACAGATCTTTGATCTCTCTCTCTATCTCTTTGCCACATTATAGCCATTTCTAATACTTAATCCCCTGAAGGACATCTGTGAGCAATTATTGATCAAACCTTTTAATTTCTAAGGCTTAATTTCAGGCAAGTAAAATGAACTGTTTGTAAAACTTTAACTTCTAATAATTAAATCTTTTGTAATGGTTTAAAATAAACTATTCTCAAAAAAGAGAATGCTTTCAGATCATAGCTGTGTAAATCGAACTGAAACAGTGCATGGAACCTTTCGTTTCCTGTTTTTACTCTCACCTTCTGTATAGAATATGTGTGAAAATCTTTGATCATGAATTGGTATATTTCAAAGAGCTACCCAATGACCAAGAATACTATCGACCGACAACATACAGAGGGGGTGGAGCCGTATTGTCAACTTTTACTAGAAAAGATTTCTTATTTGAAGGAGGTGGTTAATAGAGGGATGGCTTTTATTTGAGGAAATAAAATATTTTGTATCATCTTACAATAGAACTTTGATTTCCACTTGAAGGTCAATCCACAGAGCTAAACTTCCAAGGTTTCTTTATTTGTTATAAATGTATGGTTCAGCTACATGTAACAAAGACTTGCCAAAAAACTTATGAATTACTCAACTTGATCAGATATTAAGTGACACTTATATAACCACAAGTATTTGTTATTTTTGCATTCCCTAATACACCTTGTCTGTCTGCCCCCTCCCAATATTGTTGCATAAACTTTGCTTTCAGTATCTCTTGTGGAATGCAAAATGGTGAATACTGCACTTCAACAGATATCTTTCCATCATAATAAAACAATTCTCTTCATCGAATTCTCATTAACATATTGTCTTAAAAGTTAAATGACTAGAACGCCCAAGAGCAATGTGATCAAACATTTTAAATTAAAAGTAAAAGAGAAATAGTGAAGAATTACAACTTCTAATCAAATCTTTGCTTATATTTTAGAATAAAATATTCTCGAAACTGAGAATGGTTTGATCTGAGCTGCTTTAAAATCGAAGTGAATCACTGCATGAAACTTTTTGTTTTGTGTTCTTATCTATGTATGCAATATGTGTGAAAATATCCATCATGAATCTGTTTTTTAAAGAGCTACACAAACAAGAAGACTATTGACCGACCACGATACATACAGAGCGGGGGCAGCTGTAGTGCCAACTATTGATAGATAAAGTATGAAGGAGTGCTGCCATATATTTATTTGTTATGGTCTACAGTTCAAGGTTGCTTTTTGATTTCCGCAAATGGAAATCAGCTCATCCGCGGTGCAAGAACCTGTTAAACTCACAAGTGACGTGAAACGGAGGAAACAAAGAAGTCAACGCAATAGAACGCAGAAAAACAAAAGGTGCAAAACAAAGAAAAAGTTCACAGGTTCTTACAACGAGGTAAACCCTGGAAATTGACAGATTAGACGCCTTACACTACTACATGAAAAATTACTGCAATTTGATTGGCTTAGAGCAGTGGCATTTCAGCTTAATTCGAAATACCTACATGTGAAAGTTACAAACCTTTTGCAGGTAGTAGTATAAACAAATAATAGCATGATTTGTACGTGATATTTGGCATAAATACCACTACAAATCATGCTAGTACAAAAACAAAGCTCTTCATGTCATATGTTGTGGTAGCTTGCCCTCGATCATGGAAAAAAGAACATGTTCCCTTTTTAACGATGATCAACTCAGTAGTATAATAAATATGTTAGCTTCCTCGTGAATTAAACGCTTTTTTCATTCCAAAAAAGTTGAACTAGAAATCATATGAGCTTCCCCCTAATACGTGAAAAGGTGAAAACTAGGGGTGCCATAACAGAAAACAAACAGAAAGATCTTACCAAATCTTCATCCACTTTGCTGGTTGATGAAGAAGCACTTTCTTTGCTCTTTTTTATTTTTCTCTCCCCGTTATCTCTAAAATCTCTCTTTGCGGGAGAACGTTTTGGCATGGTACAACAGCACCTACAACGCGACGGTTGACAACTAACAAGCGATCGACCAAGTGAGTTGCAAACAACCCAGCAAGAACGTCATGTAAGGTCACTTATTGACCAATAAAAACGCGGGCTCTAGTATTGGAGGGTCATTTTTTGGCCCTCTATTACAATCTTCCCCATGGTAAAGTACCCCCTTTTTGAACGCTTTTATAGCTCAATATGGCGGAAGACTCCTAATATTGACGGAGATTGTCTCTTTTTGTAACCAGTGCTACTGCCAAAATGACTGAGAAAAAGGAGGAGTTTTTGCGCATAAGCGGTGATTTAGACTTCCAAAGTCGTAGTGATTCCATTTTTGGTTCTCTAGACAACCTTGAACCCGAGCAAAAAAGTGAAACAGAGGCAAAGCCTCATGGCCCCCGAGCACCAAAACACGTTCCAGATCATGTTTTGCATCCTCAGAAATGGACCAAATATAGTCTCGAGGATGATGGAACTGAAAAAAGTACTGGGTATGTCTGGGGAAGCCTTAAACAGGCATGTGGCTCTATCCTTTCTGGATGACATCCGTAAAAGAAAAGAAAACCCATCCATGAACTCAGAATCGGAATCAGACGTTGTAATGACTGAAAAACATGTGTTCTCAAAATCAGCGATCAAGCATAAGATGGAGATTGATGAAGCTCCTTTACAGTCACAGATTGTGGAAGGTGTCAATATCATGAAAGAGTATGTGGTAGGACTATCTCCTGCAAAGACAACTAGAAGAGAATACAAAAAACTCTCTGGTGATAAAAAGCTGAACTCCTCAGGTGAATCCGTAAGTCTCGGTCACTTGGAGGAGAAGGAAGTGGGTGATAGTGATTCAGATATCTCAGCAGGTGTTTCAGAACCTGTTGAGGAACAGCATGAGAAAGTGAAGTTTGCCAAAAGAAAAGTAAAGAAACGCAGTGGACTACGTGAACACAAATCAGCAGCAGTTGATGAATAATCTGCTGTGTTTGCACAGTAAAATAAACTGTACATGGTTTAAAGCAAAAGATTTGCATCTTACCAAGATTTAGTGCTGTCTTACTTGACTTCTTTGTAAAAACAAAGAAGAGGCTCTGATTCCATGGCGTTTCTTTTTGAAAAAACAGTGGTAACTCACTTTGCTTGCATTGTAACACATACACACAACAGAAACAAACAAAGATGACTAATCTTATCATTAGAACAACAGGGGACAACTTCAGCTCTTTTCAGGACATAGAGAACAGGGTCTGGAAGGGTATTTTCGGGATTCGGGATTTGACCAAAATACGGTGCGGGAATTGGGAAAACGATAAATAAATTGACGGGATCCGGGATTTGACTGTTCCCTGGAAAGCGGGACTTGCCAAAAATTGGGCACGGGATGCGGGATTTATGTTTGCCTGTCTGCCGGAAATGCCGGAAACCTTTAAAAACACGCGTAAATTCAAAATATCAATCGAAAGGATCAACCTACATCTTACATTTATTAGTTTTTGTAGAAATTAGACTTTTTAATGTATTTTTCTGAGAAAGAAAAGTGGTATTCGGGAAACTGATGAAAAACGTGGGGGATGCCGGATTCTCACGAAAAAGGGGCGGGAATGCGGGATCAGGACCCCCCTTCCAGACCCTGAGAGAAGTGTCTTATTAATCTAAGTGTTCCATTTCAAGCCAAAGCAAAGCATTGGCATTTGCCAAATTGAGATCATCAGTTAACAATAGTTTTATTGGTTTGTTTGCCATGGTTTTGAAATTTCTAGAAAAATAGGCTACCGTAAGAAAGCTGAAGATTAAAAAGTTCTTATTCCTTGTGATTACTAACATTAACTCAGGGGCGTAGCCAGTATTTTTCTAGAGGTACGCCTCCTACCCCTTACAACAAAAGTTACATGCTTTATACATGCAGCTTACTGCTTAATACCCACTTTTTCCTGCCTTTTGGGCCCTTTCCCTAAATATATTGGTCCACCAAAATATTGCACGTTTTTTCTCCTGAAACTGACATTCCTGAGTAAAAAGACAAAAATCTGTTGCTATAAGAAAAAAAATATTTCAAAGAAACAAGCCCGGATATTGTCTGAGTAACATTGTGCTTTTTAAATTTTTTTACTATTCGCTTTTACAGGTAGGCACGTGTACCGTGCGTACAGGTAGCTACACCCCTGTAACTTGGCATAGCAGAAAATACGTTTTGCATTATTTGAGTTGCTCATGAACTGTCCCTACCTTCTAAATAAAAAAAACCCTTTAATAAAGATTATTATCACCATCTCCATTATCATCATCATCATCATCATCACTATTAACATTTTCATTAATGAATTGGTCATCATCACCATTATTATTATTATTGCTATGAGTTATTTTAATCATAGGTAATTATTACCATCATCATCTACATATATTAGGTCGGTAAAAATCGGTAAGACATCACACCAACCATAAAATAATATAAAATAATGATATAAAATTAAATAAAGATAATTATTACATAACTTTTACTCAAGAAAAGCTGATAAATTTGATTTAAAAGACTCTAATGAACTTGATGATACAATGGCCTCAGGGAGGCAGGTCCAGTCAGCTATCATTCTCAGAAAATACAAACATTTAAAAATATCCTCATTTGCATATGACACAAAATTTAAATTGATGGCTTGCCCTTGTGTGACTCTCAGAGTGTTGAATTAAATACTTTCGGCTATCTATATCAATAAGACCATGAGTTAGTCTATACATAAGTGTTAACCTAAACTGTATTCTTCTCATTTCCAGTGTATCCCACCCTAAGTCTTTATCATCAAAATCATCACCATCGTTGTTGTGACAAATATCATCATCAATAATCATAAGAATGATGATTAATGTAATTATCAATCATTACCATTGTCATCGTCATCATCATCAATGATCATTATCACCAATACATGTAATTCCATTACCATGATCAATCATTTTACCATCATAATCATCATGGTCCGTGATTATTATCCTTATTGCAAATAAAAGACTGAAACATTGTAAATCAATAGAAAGTTTAATATCATTATACCCTGTGACATAACAAGAAAGCACTATGTACTACATTATTTTTTACATTGGGACTTCATGAGACTCTACACTTTCTAGCCAGGGTTTGAAGTAACGGCCAAAAAACAGAATCTAGATGAGGAAGACCAGGCACTCTATATCAAAAGATCTGCTCAAGCAAAGAGGAAACTCTTTGGCACACATTCTTGATTAGGGAAAATGAAAAAGCTATTCCTAAATTCCTCAGTCGGGCAACATTCAGTGTAAACAGCATTCCTCTGCTTTTTTAAATGATATTCTCCAAAACAGAAGCCAAAAGACTGTCTATTTGGGATTGACAATTTCCCAGCATTAAATTTTCCTCTAAAATTTCTTCTAACCAAAAACAAAAACAATACCCTCTTGTCCAGAATGTTGATTGTTAATGCAATATTTGGATTATTCCTATAAGAATAAGGTCAATCAAAAACACCCTTTGATGAATAACACAGGGGAAAGTCGTACATAATGACTGGGTGTGTAGTATTGTGGGATATTATTACAACTGCCTTTTATTTTAACTCAATCTTTGGGCTCGTCATAATAGAGTATGAGGGTGAAAAATATCTTATGCTACTGTGCAATAAAGCATCAACTAACACACACATTCAAAAATGCTGCATCCCATAACTGAAACATATAGTGAGAGAGATGTAGTAATGTGGGTCAGCCATCACACAGGGTTCGTACTCTTTTAAGCTCTTCAAATTCCAGGACTTTCCATGACTTTTTCCATGACCGTTTTAAGTTTTCCACGACCTTAGGTTTAGCTGTTACTTTTACAAAATTTGTGAAGCTTTTATGTTTAGGGTATTTTTGACCTTAAACAGTTCAACGGACACCAACTCTGGTGTCCACCTAAATGTGTGCCATTTGCGCTGTTTAATCACCTCTCTATCTTACATTGTTCTTGCTTTGTCATCTTCAGTAACTAATCTACCAAACAAAACTAAAATTTTCCATGAGTTTCAAGGACCGACAATTAAATTTCATGACTTTCCAGGCTCGGAAAATGAAATTCTTAAATTCCATGACTTTCCAGATTTTTCATGACCCGTACGAACCCAGTCACATCGTACGTCACCAAGAGAATTCTAGCCCACGACTTCCAAAACACCAGGAAGGCCCTCCTTCCCTTGAGCTGCTCAAGACGTGACATGTTCACTACTGAGTTGTATACCAAGATAGATGTAATAATTTATTGCAGATTTTAAATACCCTTGCTATAAACTGGTATAATTTGAACATTTTCAAATCCCCCATATGCACTCTGTGGATGGCAAACAGAGTGTATTATGAGGGTTTCAAAAATAGAGAATTGGGTAGTTAAATATTTAACACAAACCACCAGGGTGGATATCTTGTGTTATAAACATAAAACTACAAAATTTGACATGGTGGGAGAATGACCCGCTATATTGTACATCCAACCAGCTGAACAGACTAAAAGGAGAAGAAAAATTGCATCCCCTCTAATCACAGCCCGTGTTTTCTGAGGCTCCCCAAATGGAATTGTGCAATAACAATTTGCTTTTCCAACCAGCATTTCTGAATTTGCCATGTAAATGGTTAGTACCCAAGGTCATACATGTATGTTCAAACCATTTTGCGTTTACTAGAGCGGTCATAGGTCTTTAATGACTCTGCCCTGTCATATGATTGCTGAAACTGCGGCATCTCACGAGAATAAAACCGCCTCTCTATCACTTTATCAAAGAAAGAATACAACTTTCTTGCATTAGCAGATCCTGGCTTAAGCTGTTTAGTGTCAGTACAGTTGATGTTTATCATATCAGCTCCAATTTCTTCAGCCAGATTGAATCCTCTTGATGATGTAAGAATTCTTGCAGTCCCTGCTTGATCCAGCTTAGTTCCAATAATAATAACAGGAATCTGATTCCCTGCAAACTGTTCACGATCGTACTGATCACCCATATCAATGGAAAATTCAAACCATCTGTCTTTGTTTCCATTAGAAGTGGGAGATTTTGGTTGCCTTGAATTTAACACACCGCTGCCTTCCTTTCCTGAGCCTAGTACCTCTGTTAGCCATCGCCTGAGGTTTGAGAATGACTTCTTATTTGTAAGGTCGTGAACAAGGATCAATCCATTGACGCCATTGTAAAATATTGCCCGGCTGTTTTCATGACTTGCTGACCCTCCAACGTCCCAAAACTCCAAGAAAAAACTTTTCATCCCTGGAGTACCTTCCCTATAGTCGTATAATTTAACCTCTACAGTACAACCTATAGTCCATCCTGGATTCGGGATGCTTTCATTGTGACAAATATGATGAACTAAAGAGGTCTTTCCGACGCCCGAATCACCAACGACAAGAATCTTTACCTTCTCTTGGGCGGCCATATTGACACGTTAAAACCGAGAGGAGACTTGGTACTAGTCACCAGTCGTTTCTTTGTTAACATTCGCACGGAACGCCTAGAGGATTTTCGCCACTCGAGAAGGAAAAACACACTCCCTTTAACCGGCCATATGGCTGTCTCAACGCTAATTTCAGCTCAGTGGCTTCGCCAGTTAATGCTTCAAAGCCCAAAGTATCTGCGAATCGTGGATGCGTCGTGGCACCTCCCGAAAGAAAATCGAGATCCCAGAAAGGAATTTTTGACTCATCGAATTCCAGGGGCCAAGTTCTTCGACTTAGATGAATGTATAGACAAAACTTCACACTACGAGCATATGTTACCAAATGCTGAAGATTTCTCGAACTATGTTCAAAGTCTTGGAATTGATAATGATAGCTACGTTATTGTGTATGATAATAATGCGAAAAGTGGCCTATTCTCATCTCCTCGATTGTGGTGGATGATGCGCGCATTTGGGCACGAACGGGTATCGATTTTGGACGGCGGTTTTCCGAAGTGGCATGCTGAGGGTTACCCAATCGAAACAGGCCCAGACAACAAAAGCAAAGTTGAAGGTATATTTTCGGCATGCATATTAACTAGGATTGTAGGAGAGTGATGGGGTCGGGGGGGGGGGCATGAGGAAAGTTAAATTGTTATGCAATGTGTACTGCTATTCTTCGTTTTCACTGTCACGCAATAAACACGGCACAAAAAAATACATTTGAAACCGTCCAGTGGAAGAAGCCAAGAAAACGAAATGTTATAAAAGACTAATATATAAACAATTTGTCCAAATCTCAGGTCTTTGTGGCCCACAGTTTCTGAGTTAGTTGCCGAAACATTTCACGCACCTTTGTAGAGCTTTGTATGGAGACGCCATACTGGTGGACAGAAACTGTCCACCAATATGGCAACCGGAAATCAACAAATACATCTGGAGTTAACTTTTTCTATAAAAGCTCTTCCTTTTCTCTCGAGAACTAGCATACTTGCGCATGAACATATCTTCTAATACTTGAAATGGTTAAACTTCTGAAAATCAAGCGGAGAGACTTTTTTCAAGGAGATAGCATTCCTCTTTTGGTGTCACGCACTGTGAAAACTCGGAAGTTCAAACTGCTGTATTTTCGAAATGAAACATGCTTCGCGGCTGGAAACTTGTACAAAGATTTATTTCCTATTAATCTTTAACCTAGTGTAAATAAGAATTCGTAAAACCTTGCTTTTTTGACTTTGCAATCTGATGACGTCACCATGAAAACATCAATAGCTTCAATAACACTGTTACGTGTCTAAGAAGAATGGAAATAGCCCACTGAATTGGCAATTGCACACATGCAAGAATGATAGTGGTTCTTATTGTTCTGGACAATAAATCAGTTCTCATGCAGTGTTCCAGAAAAGTAAGCCCATTTTAGGTTGTTTGGTACCAATTAATTGCCAATCTGTGTTGTCATATTGTGATCAAAGCACTGACTTTTAATATATCAAACCAATAGCCCATGGTCTCCTGATCTAACACAAGACAGTGTTTCATCCCATATCCAGTCACTGAGAAGTGAGTTTAAAAAAAGGGTGTCTAGTGGGAATTGTAAGACCAGATTTCCAACTCTCTCTATCCAAAGATCCAGAAATACCAACCTCTGGAGATCTAAAATCTGGAGACTGTCTGTCAGTCTGTCTGTCTGTCTTTCTGTCACCTTGTTCCCAGGTTCTCTCTCTAGGGGTGGGTAGGAGAGAACCCTGGGAACGAGGTTGTGTCTGTCTGTTGCATTACCCTCATAGCAACAACCCCCACCCCCTTATAAACACTAATCAACCCAGCTCCTAAGTTTTGAAATGGTTCTGGCTCAGGACATAATGTGGGGGGAAAAAGTTAAATTCTAAACTAAAGCACACAAAAGAGTTGGCATATATGCTAATGAATAACTAACCAGCGCCATAATTCTTCTAATTTGTTTATTGTAATCTGTGTGAAAATGCTGACAGCTCTTTTATTTTCTTGCTCTTATTTGTTTGATGTTTTTAAATAGATGGTGGGCCATTCAAAGTTACTCTAAACACAGGCATGTTTTGTGATTTTGACTTTGTGAAAGCCAATATATCACAGGCAACATGCCATGTTGCCGATGCTCGGTCTTCTGGCAGATTCCATGGTACTGAACCAGAGCCACGCCCAAATTTTCCATCTGGTCACATTCCAGGATCAAGGAGTGTTCCATATTCCCAGTGTTTAGATCCTGACACAAAACTCATGAAAACACCTGAGGAGTTGAAGAAAGTGTTTGAAGATGCAGGAATTGATCTCAAAAAGCCTCTCATTACTTCCTGTGGATCTGGGATCACTTCATGTGTGGTGGCTTTGGCATCATATCTTTGTGGAAAGAGAGACACCATGGTCTTTGATGGCTCCTGGGTGGAGTGGTGTCAGCGTGCTACTGATATGATTGAAAAGAGCTAAATACTTACGGCCATTCATTGTTTTGTAATATAACAATAAGGGGGGAGGTGGAGGCAGATCTCATTGATAATTAAAAGTCAACAATCTTTAGTCTTTATATTTATTCACCAGCACTTTATTGATAGTTTGTAGCTATGTACAACAAAATATGATTAAAAAGTAATAAAAAACGGCTTTTTTTGTTTTAGAGATTGATATAGACAATCCCTCATTTAGCAAGGAAAACTTGACATCAGGCAGCTCCTGTACAGATATTATATCCATTGAATATTTTGAATGCCATTTTTGTAAAAATTTGGTCATTGAAAACAATAGCCTGCATTTTCATTTAAAATCCAGTAACCTCCTATTACAAAAGTTTGTACTTTTTTGTTTGAACACATAAACTGACATAACTGATCCGTATTCGAATCCGAAGATCCAGGCCAGCGACCCGATCCACGTCTTGTTAATGCTACTGGTCACCAGTCCTTTTCTTCCAACAAGAAATGCCCAATACTCTGTTGTGAGTTGTTAGGATGTGAAATCTTGCACGAAAATTGCATGTGAAACTCAAAGGTATTGTCTTCCCCCCAATAATGACATAAACGTGCAGCTTTACACGGTTTTTCATCATAATTTCCCGTCGACGTCTTCGTGTGCTATTCTTTTCGAAGAAAACCGCAGCGCGCACACTTTTTAAAGTTTAGACAGTTTGTCTCACTTTCTCCTGATCATGTCGTCCGTGTCGGCCTTGGTTAAGGCCCATTGGCTCCGTCAGCTGATGCTCCAAAGCCCAAAACATCTTCGAATTTTAGACGCGTCTTTGCAACTCTCAAAAGAAAACCGCGATGCAAGACAAGAGTTTCTCGCCCATCGCATTCCAGGGGCCAAGTTTTTCGACGTTAATGAATGTGCAGATAAGTTCTCACCCTACGCGCATAGTCTGCCAAATGCCGAAGAATTCGCAGACTGCAAACGAAAACTTGGAATCCGCAATGATAGTCACGTTGTTGTCTACGATAACAACGAAAAAGTCGGTCTTTACTCCGCGCCTCGAGCCTGGTGGATGTTTCGTGCATTTGGTCATCATCGGGTGTCAGTTTTGGACGGTGGGTTTCCTCGCTGGTGCGCGGAAGGTTTTCCAATCGAATCGGGCCCAGAAAAAAACACAGCAGCGGTCCAAGGTACTTAGTAAATCTTAGCCTGACTTGAGATCATCCTTAGCCTGTTCACAGACCATCTGTTTTTCTCTTCAAAGTACGACGAGCGCGGGTGATAAAATATAACCCGCAGGGGATTTATTGACCGCCAACGCAGGGGGTAATGGTGGGGGAAGAAGTTCTTTATTTTTCTTTCTCGCGCTCCGCGCTCGCTCTCGCGCGCTTGCTTTGCTCGCAAGCTCGCCGACGTTTTTGAAAAGAACGAAAAGAAAAATGAAACAACGTCTGTGTTCAGGCTAGATCATCCTAGTCTGCTACACAGCCGTTTTTGTGTCGTCACGCAACGCTGTTCCCCGCGTGACTACCCTAAAAAGGGCTGTGTAGCAGACACGGATGTAATTTTTGCCGTTCGGCTTGCGTTGCGCAAAACCGCCTATGAGGGGGATGGAGGTGTATTCCCAGAAATTTGGACGATGTGGCATGCCATCAGGGGACCAAAATATGTGATTTCCTCTACCCTATTTTCAGATTTAACGCAAACGCGTGAACAGACAACCGCGTATACAGCGTCTTCGCAGTTCCCCTTGACCCGATTTGGGGGATTGGACTGGTTGCAGCATGTGCGCTCCAACAGATAATAGGGACTTTAAGATCCGAGACGCGACGGCTGTAAGACGCGACAGGAAGTAGATTTTCAAAGAGGAGACATGTTGCGCATGCTCAAGCCGTTGTCCTGGTGTCACCACGTCGCGTCGAGAACGTGGGTTTTGCGTGTTTGACGTTCTGTACAAAACGTGAGTATATTTGTTCCTGTGCTTAACTTAAATGATGGTATATTCCTCTAAACATGTAACATCAGCCTTCTAGGATCATTGGACGTAATTTCTGGCGACATTTTAGATCGCAGAGATGGAACGATTTCAGATTATTTTTAAATTTCTTTCAGGTGTACGAAGCTTATAAAATGGCAGCGCCTTCGACTTCGACTTCGAGCGAGGCTTGCAAGTAAGTCACGAGCTAAAACTGCAAATAGTGAATGCAGGAGTCTTCTGCATACTCTTCTCGTCTCTTGTACCGTTGCAATTCTCGATTTATTGCGTTCATCTACGGCTAAAAGCCAATTTTAAGCCTGTATTATTTAATTTAATTTTATTAAACTGTGTGTGTTTTTATGCTTCTCTTTAGTTCAGTAATGTTTTGGACTCATGATCATGAAGCCATTCTATGCAGAGAAGCCGTCAATGTAAATCCCTACACAACTAAGAAAGGGTCAACACAAAGAAGTAGAATGTGGGAAAAAATAGCAGAAAACTTGAACAAATTCACTGTGCCGAAATTCAGGGTTGATAAGCGATCAGTCCGAGACCACGTGGGAATCCTTGTTTACAAGCATAACAAGAAACTTCTAGCGGAGGAAAAAGCAACTGGGATAACTCCCGATGAGCCAACGGAACTAGAAAACCTATTGGGTATGATCATCGCGTTGGAGGAAAGTGGCGAAGCGGAATTACAGGAAACACAGGGAAAAGCTAGCAAAAAACGTCAATACGATCGGGCTAAAGTGAAAGATGTTAGACTAAAAGCGATGGAGAAGCTGTCAGAGACGAAGAAAAGAGGTTCATCAGAGGATGAAAGCCATGACAAACCGAAGCGTCAACCAAGAAGTGGAGGTGATGCTATCGAACAAAGCACAAACAAAGCATTTCTTGGACTTTCTTAAATAATGCCATGGCTATTTCTGCGAAAGAATCGCCGAAGAATCACACTGATAAAGAGCGGTTTGCAGCCGCGTCGTCTTGCATCGCGACAGAGATCTTAACTTTACTTTTCGCGCGCAAACGACGGCGTTCTACAGGTCCAGTCCTTTATCAGCCACCGCGTTCTAGAAGTCGTCGCGTCTCAGATCTTAAAGTCCCTAATGTCAGTCACAGAGCGTCCTTTCCCTCTCTCTCCCCAATCCCCCTTCCCATTCCTCTTCCAAGTCCCTCACCCCTTTCTACGCTTGCAGGCCAAAGAAAGAGCGGGCGCGCAAGAGGGAGACACGCGTGTCTTCGTCTCGCGGGCTCGTTCCTTCTTGCGTCCACTACTTCCCACTACTTCCCAGAAGGGTAGGTAATTCATATATGATTTATATTATTATGTACCTAAACTTACCTATTATATCCATTTATATATTATTATTATACTATAATACACCTATACACCCCTATACATCACCATACACCCCTAAACATCACCATACACCCCTATACAACACCATACACCCCCATACATCACCTTATGTATAGTACAATAATAAAAGGTATGTTTAGGTACATAATAATAATCATATATGAAGTACCTACCCCCAGAAGCTGCTTGGGTTTGCGGCAACACACTTCTTCCTTCAACCTTCCAGGGCAAAACTCTTGTAATATGCTTCTCAACTTAAAACTTTTTCCAGTCCGTTAAATGACGGGTTTTGCGTGAGAAAGGTGCCGACTAAAAGAACCAGCTATAGTTTTCAGCTGAGTTTTCTTTACGAGGTGTTTGTGCATTAACAGGAATCAGCTGGGGAAAAGCCTTGTACCAGAATAATTTAAAGAATATTGCATTCTTTTTTGCATTTTTTCAAGGGCTAAAGATGTAATTTATAGTCCAAAGAAAATTTCTCATGGGAGTCCGAGAAAATGAATGTCAAATTTCACAAGAGTTGTGAAAACACAGGTAACGTTCTGAAAATTTCATGTGTAAGATCAAGAGAGAATGAGCTATCATTCTCTCTTGGTAAGATGTAATTTTGTGAAATTTGACATTCATTTTCTCGGGCTGTCGTAAGAAATTTTATTTGGTGTTATTCGCCTGCCTGACTAATTACAATATGCTTTAAATTATTCTGGTACAAGGCTTTCGTCTACAAAAAATTAAAATTACTTAATTTCCTGGTGGATTACGTCTTAAAGTGTTTTCCCTAAGTAATCATTCTCGGTTTCCCACCTTTTCTCGCTGTCTTAGGTCATTATTTTCCTGTAAACGGCGTTGTCATAGGCGTACGGGCCGGGGGGGCGAGGGGGGCTGCAGCCCCCCCAAATTTTGGGCAACTCAGATTTTTTGGGCAGCAAGAGAAAATTTGGGCAAAGCTATTTTTTAAAGACGTTTCCGTGTTTTTTTATTAGTTTAAAGAGACAAATATTTTCTATTTTAATCTGAAAAAAAAATCCTGAAGTCAGCGTAATAATCCAGTTATATTACATTCTCTCGAGACACTCACAGTGGTTGCTGAGCACGTGATGAGTTTCTGGTTATAGCGAAGGGTATCATTTGTTGATTTACATATTTAAAGTTTTTTATCGTTGAGCACTGTCCTGCACTGCACTGACTGGAATGGGCTCTTTCCAGTCGTGAATTGATTAGAATAAGCTTCCGCATATATTTCTAGAATCATCTCCGCCCGTAGAACAGTGTATGGCAGAGAGCATCAGCAACAGTGGGTGTGAAAATGAAGAAGTGGCTGACGAGTATTCGACTCGAATTACGAGAAGAATATTTTTTTGTTTAATAATCTATCAAGCAATAATTTATTAAAGTAAACCGAAATGTTTACAAAACCGCTAACAAGAGCGCCTCGATACATACTGATGAAATGGAATCCTTCTCTCTAGCGATCGGCCGGAGCTATCTCCATGACATTTTACACACGTTTTTAAAACGATTGAAGCTACTATGAGGTGAAATTACATGTCAAAAGAGATTCGTTTTCTACAGATAACGGCCAAACATCAAGATTTTTTTTAGCATATTTCTAAAACTTCATCCCAAAATATCCCGATAACTCTTTTATAGATTCCGTTTTAACTTCACGAACATCGAGGCGACTATTGGAGAAAAAAGTTGCTGTGAAGATTTTGTAGGAACAGTTCCCAGTGCCAAGAAATATTGCTGCAAGTAAAATAGACAATGGCATCATTTCGTTGCTATGACAACTCCGATGTCATTAAAACCCTATGATAAATTTTCATCTATATCTAATAAAACTATGGTAGCAATTTTTCCAAATGTTTGTCTATGGCGACGTAGTTATGCTCAAAATTGGGAGGTATTGACCCTGAAAAACTGTTACAGTATCGAGCCACCTTCATATGCCAGTACGGCCTACGTTGTTGCATCGTATGGCCCTCGTTTCCCTTTCTACTGTTTCGTAAAAATTTGGGCAACTTGCGAGAATTTTTGGGCAAATAGTTTACCGCCCCCTGGCCAAAAATTGCCCGTACGCCTATGGGCGTTGTAGCTCTAATACTGAATAACGCCACTAAGAGGCAAAAGTACTGGGCAAGATTCATTGTAAAGCCTCAAGATGAGAGCTGTATGTGCGCCTTCATTTTAACAGTTTAAGTTTAGGTGTCCAAGAACTCATAAAATTCATTTAAAAAAATTTGGGGAGAGGGTGGATTGCCCGGAACATCCCCCAGGATCCACACTGGAAATTGGGTCCTGCTATTAGTCATAACCAACCACCTCTTTTCGGACCAAATTTTTCAAAAGAGTTGGTGATAGAAACGAAAGGTTTAGTAAGCGTGGCCTAAATAAGTAAAAAATGTCATTGAATTATAGCTTGCCTGACTGGTTTAGCCGGCACTTTATTTTACAGGTGATGAGTCATACCGAGCCATCTTGAATACCGACATCCTCTGTAACTTTGATTTCGTGAAAGCCAATATATCACAGCAAACCTACCAAGTAGCTGATGCAAGGTCCCCGGAACTGTTCCACGGTTCTGAAACAGAGCCACACCCAAATCTTCCATCAGGTCATATCCCACATGCTATTAACTTTCCTTACACCAAGTGTCTGAATCCTGAAACAAAACTCATGAAAACTCCTGACGAGCTAAAGAAATTGTTCCAAGACGCAGGAATTGATCTTGACAAACCCCTGATTGTATCCTGTGGATCTGGGATTACAGCATGTGTGGTAGCCTTCGCTTCACATCTTTGTGGAAAGACGGACACCATAGTGTATGATGGCTCATGGGAGGAGTGGCGTCAGCGGGCTTCTTCCGATTTGATTGAAAAAGATGAAAAACAGGCTTCGAGTAGCATTTACCAAGAGAGAAAAAAGGGTTAAGATTTTAAAATCCTTTTACTTTCTTAGCCTCTTCCGCTTGCCTCACCGATGTAACTTTGGGTAGCTAATTCCAGGCTTTAAGATAGTTGGAAGCTGAAGCAAATCCCACTACTTCCCAGAAGGGTAGGTAATTCATGTATGATATACATTATTATGTACCTAAACTTACCTATTATATCCATTTATATATTATCATTATACTATAATATACCTACACACCCCTATACATCACCATACACCCCTAAACATCACCATACACCCCTATACAACACCATACACCCCATACATCACCTTATGTATAGTACAATAATAATAGGTATGTTTAGGTACATAATAATAATCATATATGAGGTACCTACCCCCAGAAGCTGCTTGGGTTTGCGTCAACACACTTCTTCCTTCAACCTTCCAGGGCAAAACTCTTGTAAAATGCTTCTCAACTTAAAACTTTTCCCAGTCCGTTAAATGACGGGTTTTGCGTGAGAAAGGTGCCGACTAAAAGAACCAGCTATAGTTTTCAGCTCAGTGTTCTTTACGAGGTGTTTGTGCATTAACAGGAATCAGCTGGGGAAAAGCCTTGTACCAGAATAATTTAAAGAATATTGCATTCTTTTTTTACATTTTCAAGGGCTAAAGATGTAATTTATAGTCCAAAGAAAATTTCACATGGGAGTCCGAGAAAATGAATGTCAAATTTCACAAGAGTTGTGAAAACACAGGTAACGTTCTGAAAATTTCATGTGTAAGATCAAGAGAGAATGAGCTATCATTCTCTCTTGGTAAGATGTAATTTTGTGAAATTTGACATTCATTTTCTCGGGCTGTCGTAAGAAATTTTATTTGGTGTTATTCGCCTGACTAATTACAATATGCTTTAAATTATTCTGGTACAAGGCTTTCGTCTACAAAAAATTAAAATTACTTAATTTCCTGGTGGATTACGTCTTAAAGTGTTTTCCCTAAGTAATCATTCTCAGTTTCCCACCTTTTCTCGCTGTCTTAGGTCATTATTTTCCTGTAAACGGCGTTGTCATAGGCGTACGGGCCGGGGGGGCGAGGGGGGCTGCAGCCCCCCCAAATTTTGGGCAACTCAGATTTTTTGGGCAGCAAGAGAAAATTTGGGCAAAGCTATTTTTTAAAGACGTTTCCGTGTTTTTTTATTAGTTTAAAGAGACAAATATTTTCTATTTTAATCTGAAAAAAAAATCCTGAAGTCAGCGTAATAATCCAGTTATATTACATTCTCTCGAGACACTCACAGTGGTTGCTGAGCACGTGATGAGTTTCTGGTTATAGCGAAGGGTATCATTTGTTGATTTACATATTTAAAGTTTTTTTCGTTGAGCACTGTCCTGCACTGCACTGACTGGAATGGGCTCTTTCCAGTCGTGAATTGATTAGAATAAGCTTCCGCATATATTTCTAGAATCATCTCCGCCCGTAGAACAGTGTATGGCAGAGAGCATCAGCAACAGTGGGTGTGAAAATGAAGAAGTGGCTGACGAGTATTCGACTCGAATTACGAGAAGAATATTTTTTGTTTAATAATCTATCAAGCAATAATTTATTAAAGTAAACCGAAATGTTTACAAAACCGCTAACAAGAGCGCCTCGATACATACTGATGAAATGGAATCCTTCTCTCTAGCGATCGGCCGGAGCTATCTCCATGACATTTTACACACGTTTTAAAACGATTGAAGCTACTATGAGGTGAAATTACATGTCAAAAGAGATTCGTTTTCTACAGATAACGGCCAAACATCAAGATTTTTTTAGCATATTTCTAAAACTTCATCCCAAAATATCCCGATAACTCTTTTATAGATTCCGTTTTAACTTCACGAACATCGAGGCGACTATTGGAGAAAAAAAGTTGCTGTGAAGATTTTGTAGGAACAGTTCCCAGTGCCAAGAAATATTGCTGCAAGTAAAATAGACAATGGCATCATTTCGTTGCTATGACAACTCCGATGTCATTAAAACCCTATGATAAATTTTCATCTATATCTAATAAAACTATGGTAGCAATTTTTCCAAATGTTTGTCTATGGCGACGTAGTTATGCTCAAAATTGGGAGGTATTGACCCTGAAAAACTGTTACAGTATCGAGCCACCTTCATATGCCAGTACGGCCTACGTTGTTGCATCGTATGGCCCTCGTTTCCTTTCTACTGTTTCGTAAAAATTTGGGCAACTTGCGAGAATTTTTTGGGCAAATAGTTTACCGCCCCCCCTGGCCAAAAATTGCCCGTACGCCTATGGGCGTTGTAGCTCCTAATACTGAATAACGCCACTAAGAGGCAAAAGTACTGGGCAAGATTCATTGTAAAGCCTCAAGATGAGAGCTGTATGTGCGCCTTCATTTTAACAGTTTAAGTTTAGGTGTCCAAGAACTCATAAAATTCATTTAAAAAAATTTGGGGAGAGGGTGGATTGCCCGGAACATCCCCCAGGATCCACACTGGAAATTGGGTCCTGCTATTAGTCATAACCAACCACCTCTTTTCGGACCAAATTTTTCAAAAGAGTTGGTGATAGAAACGAAAGGTTTAGTAAGCGTGGCCTAAATAAGTAAAAAATGTCATTGAATTATAGCTTGCCTGACTGGTTTAGCCGGCACTTTATTTTACAGGTGATGAGTCATACCGAGCCATCTTGAATACCGACATCCTCTGTAACTTTGATTTCGTGAAAGCCAATATATCACAGCAAACCTACCAAGTAGCTGATGCAAGGTCCCCGGAACTGTTCCACGGTTCTGAAACAGAGCCACACCCAAATCTTCCATCAGGTCATATCCCACATGCTATTAACTTTCCTTACACCAAGTGTCTGAATCCTGAAACAAAACTCATGAAAACTCCTGACGAGCTAAAGAAATTGTTCCAAGACGCAGGAATTGATCTTGACAAACCCCTGATTGTATCCTGTGGATCTGGGATTACAGCATGTGTGGTAGCCTTCGCTTCACATCTTTGTGGAAAGACGGACACCATAGTGTATGATGGCTCATGGGAGGAGTGGCGTCAGCGGGCTTCTTCCGATTTGATTGAAAAAGATGAAAAACAGGCTTCGAGTAGCATTTACCAAGAGAGAAAAAAGGGTTAAGATTTTAAAATCCTTTTACTTTCTTAGCCTCTTCCGCTTGCCTCACCGATGTAACTTTGGGTAGCTAATTCCAGGCTTTAAGATAGTTGGAAGCTGAAGCAAATCCCACTACTTCCCAGAAGGGTAGGTAATTCATATATGATTTATATTATTATGTACCTAAACTTACCTATTATATCCATTTATATATTATTATTATACTATAATACACCTATACACCCCTATACATCACCATACACCCCTAAACATCACCATACACCCCTATACAACACCATACACCCCCATACATCACCTTATGTATAGTACAATAATAAAAGGTATGTTTAGGTACATAATAATAATCATATATGAAGTACCTACCCCCAGAAGCTGCTTGGGTTTGCGGCAACACACTTCTTCCTTCAACCTTCCAGGGCAAAACTCTTGTAATATGCTTCTCAACTTAAAACTTTTTCCAGTCCGTTAAATGACGGGTTTTGCGTGAGAAAGGTGCCGACTAAAAGAACCAGCTATAGTTTTCAGCTGAGTTTTCTTTACGAGGTGTTTGTGCATTAACAGGAATCAGCTGGGGAAAAGCCTTGTACCAGAATAATTTAAAGAATATTGCATTCTTTTTTACATTTTTCAAGGGCTAAAGATGTAATTTATAGTCCAAAGAAAATTTCTCATGGGAGTCCGAGAAAATGAATGTCAAATTTCACAAGAGTTGTGAAAACACAGGTAACGTTCTGAAAATTTCATGTGTAAGATCAAGAGAGAATGAGCTATCATTCTCTCTTGGTAAGATGTAATTTTGTGAAATTTGACATTCATTTTCTCGGGCTGTCGTAAGAAATTTTATTTGGTGTTATTCGCCTGACTAATTACAATATGCTTTAAATTATTCTGGTACAAGGCTTTCGTCTACAAAAAATTAAAATTACTTAATTTCCTGGTGGATTACGTCTTAAAGTGTTTTCCCTAAGTAATCATTCTCAGTTTCCCACCTTTTCTCGCTGTCTTAGGTCATTATTTTCCTGTAAACGGCGTTGTCATAGGCGTACGGGCCGGGGGGGCGAGGGGGGCTGCAGCCCCCCCAAATTTTGGGCAACTCAGATTTTTTGAGCAGCAAGAGAAAATTTGGGCAAAGCTATTTTTTAAAGACGTTTCCGTGTTTTTTTATTAGTTTAAAGAGACAAATATTTTCTATTTTAATCTGAAAAAAAAATCCTGAAGTCAGCGTAATAATCCAGTTATATTACATTCTCTCGAGACACTCACAGTGGTTGCTGAGCACGTGATGAGTTTCTGGTTATAGCGAAGGGTATCATTTGTTGATTTACATATTTAAAGTTTTTTATCGTTGAGCACTGTCCTGCACTGCACTGACTGGAATGGGCTCTTTCCAGTCGTGAATTGATTAGAATAAGCTTCCGCATATATTTCTAGAATCATCTCCGCCCGTAGAACAGTGTATGGCAGAGAGCATCAGCAACAGTGGGTGTGAAAATGAAGAAGTGGCTGACGAGTATTCGACTCGAATTACGAGAAGAATATTTTTTTGTTTAATAATCTATCAAGCAATAATTTATTAAAGTAAACCGAAATGTTTACAAAACCGCTAACAAGAGCGCCTCGATACATACTGATGAAATGGAATCCTTCTCTCTAGCGATCGGCCGGAGCTATCTCCATGACATTTTACACACGTTTTTAAAACGATTGAAGCTACTATGAGGTGAAATTACATGTCAAAAGAGATTCGTTTTCTACAGATAACGGCCAAACATCAAGATTTTTTTAGCATATTTCTAAAACTTCATCCCAAAATATCCCGATAACTCTTTTATAGATTCCGTTTTAACTTCACGAACATCGAGGCGACTATTGGAGAAAAAAAGTTGCTGTGAAGATTTTTGTAGGAACAGTTCCCAGTGCCAAGAAATATTGCTGCAAGTAAAATAGACAATGGCATCATTTCGTTGCTATGACAACTCCGATGTCATTAAAACCCTATGATAAATTTTCATCTATATCTAATAAAACTATGGTAGCAATTTTTCCAAATGTTTGTCTATGGCGACGTAGTTATGCTCAAAATTGGGAGGTATTGACCCTGAAAAACTGTTACAGTATCGAGCCACCTTCATATGCCAGTACGGCCTACGTTGTTGCATCGTATGGCCCTCGTTTCTTTTCTACTGTTTCGTAAAAATTTGGGCAACTTGCGAGAATTTTTGGGCAAATAGTTTACCGCCCCCTGGCCAAAAATTGCCCGTACGCCTATGGGCGTTGTAGCTCCTAATACTGAATAACGCCACTAAGAGGCAAAAGTACTGGGCAAGATTCATTGTAAAGCCTCAAGATGAGAGCTGTATGTGCGCCTTCATTTTAACAGTTTAAGTTTAGGTGTCCAAGAACTCATAAAATTCATTTAAAAAATTTGGGGAGGGTGGATTGCCCGGAACATCCCCAGGATCCACACTGGAAATTGGGTCCTGCTATTAGTCATAACCAACCACTTCTTTTCGGACCAAATTTTTCAAAAGAGTTGGTGATAGAAACGAAAGGTTTAGTAAGCGTGGCCTAAATAAGTAAAAAATGTAATTGAATTATAGCTTGCCTGACTGGTTTAGCCGGCACTTTTTTTTACAGGTGATGAGTCATACCGAGCCATCTTGAATACCGACATCCTCTGTAACTTTGATTTCGTGAAAGCCAATATATCACAGCAAACCTACCAAGTAGCTGATGCAAGGTCCCCGGAACTGTTCCACGGTTCTGAAACAGAGCCACACCCAAATCTTCCATCAGGTCATATCCCACATGCTATTAACTTTCCTTACACCAAGTGTCTGAATCCTGAAACAAAACTCATGAAAACTCCTGACGAGCTAAAGAAATTGTTCCAAGACGCAGGAATTGATCTTGACAAACCCCTGATTGTATCCTGTGGATCTGGGATTACAGCATGTGTGGTAGCCTTCGCTTCACATCTTTGTGGAAAGACGGACACCATAGTGTATGATGGCTCATGGGAGGAGTGGCGTCAGCGGGCTTCTTCCGATTTGATTGAAAAAGATGAAAAACAGGCTTCGAGTAGCATTTACCAAGAGAGAAAAAAGGGTTAAGATTTTAAAATGCTTTTACTTTCTTAGCCTCTTCCGCTTGCCTCACCGATGTAACTTTGGGTAGCTAATTCCAGGCTTTAAGATAGTTGGAAGCTGAAGCAAATCGAGAAAACTTACGCGAAAACCCTGTGGGGGCTGGGGAGAGACGGGGCTGAGAGCCAAGCGAGCTAGTCGGCACAGGCTAATTTGACTGTGTTGAATACGCCTCAAGTTTAAATAGCACTTAAATGTTAGTTTCAGATTCTCTGTACCTGTGCCTGTGTAGCACGAGGATTTTGAGAGTGAGGGGATATCGGGAATAAAGGCACGCAAGAACGCGAGAATCAAAGAAAGTTCCCTCCTCCCTTGCACGCCCTTTATGTTTTTGCACTTCTTAACTTCTCCTTTCCCCTTTCTTTCCAAATCCAGCCACGCAGGTCAGGTCTTCTGCAGCGGTACCAACGGTAACTGTAGAGGACAGCAAACAAATAAGCTACGTAATGTGGATCCACAACCGGGAGAGATCTCATTGACAAACATAACCTTAGTGTGATTGCAACGCTGATTGTACAACGCACTAAAATAAGCTTGTAAGATATAAACAAGACACCGACCTTGGCGCTCATATTGAGAGATCGCAGCTCGCTCGCTCTCCAGTTGCCTTCAGGCGCGGATCAGAAAATTCGGAAAGGGGTGGCCGGGACACTTGCCCAGCTATGTAGATACTTTTTATTTTTTCTGAGAATTCTATAAAAATAATACAAAATTTCAAAGAAAAAAGGGTGGCTGAGCCCCCCTCGGCCCACCCTTAAATCCGCAATTGGCCTTACTTAAACAAGTAAACTGAATGCACAGAGTGTTCAAAAACCTCTTTTCATGCAATTTATTCAATTTTCAATGTAGTTTTAGACTTCCTTTAAGTAAAACGTGATCATATTTACAAAAAAAATGCTTCTTATTCTTTTGGCATAAGAATGGGACGTTTCACTCAGTGTACTACTCATCACTTTCTACATCTCACGCTTTTACAATACGGTCAATATGATTTTACATTATTGTACAAAGCTGTCTTTACGTATGTTCCAGAGAAGTCACAACAGAAAACCCAAAATCAAGACCGACCCGAGTAGACAGGTACTCAAGGTTTACGGTCAAGTCTCTCGAAACCAGAGTTATGTCGCCCGCAATTTTTAGTCAAGTCGCCCGAAAATTTATCGAGCTTAGCAACATCCTCACATTTTCATCTCGCTTGTTTCGTTTCATTAAATCTTTAAGAACAAGCTGATGTATTACTCATTTGACGTGCTTGTTTCGTTTCATCAAGGCTAAAAGAACGAGATATATTACATACACTCTTTATTAAAATTTCGGGCGAGATGACTTTCGGGCGACTTGACAGGTTACCGCAGTCATAGTCCATTGTAGAGAGTGTCAACCCATTATATAGGTTAAATAATGTCTAAAGAATGACAGAGATCAAATCTAGCTGTCTGCTAAAAGAAAGTTCAGTGACTATACATAATAGTAAGAAAGGTAACTTTGATTACTATCTCCTTTTAACATATTTATGGATCCTCCGCATTGAACACATCCTCGGGGTATTCTTGCTGAAGGCTTTCATTGGGTATGTACCGTGTCCCTGTAAAACCTTTGAAGTACTTTCCCAGTTCTGGATGTGGATTAAACGGCTGCTGGGGGTCTTCTCTCAAGTTCGCTGCAAGCGAAAGAAATGGATGGCATTTAAAGTGCTGCTGCGTGGAACAGTCTTTTCTGTTCAACCTTCAATGCCGCACTGTCGCGAGAAAAGTTGCTAACAAAAACGCGCGTGCAATGCTCCTTCGCAACAAATGTTCTTTACAACAAAACATTTTCGTAAAAGGTACAAAGAAAAACTTTAAAGGATATTAATCTCCAAAAACTTTAAAGGATATTAATCTCCACGCTTAAGCCTGGTGCGAGCATTGTTCCCCTGTCTAAACAACATGCATAGGGGAATTTCTGTACGACAAAAAGGACATTCGATGAAAGCGAGAAAATTTCTTCCTGTGCGGGGAGCGACGGAAAGATGAACTGATAAAATTTATTTCACTAGCAGATGTATCGAACTAATACACAAAGTCGTTCTCGCAATATATGTATGCAGGCGTTACTAACGGAGGAGAAGGCTGATCACTCACTACTCCTTTTAATTACAAAGAACACTCGTAAGTTCGGTCAGTGTTTTAAAAGCTCGTGAATACTTTGGGAACTATGAGAAGATTAGTCTTAGGTCAAATTGGCTGTTATCTGAAGATCGGGGGGCAGTCTTTCGTTTGTTTACAAAAGAGAAGAAAACTGAGCCGAGTTAGCTTTCGCAAAGATTTCTGGGATTATCATGGGGATGCGCCAATCAGCTGTGGACCAATTTACTTTCCCTGTCCTTAGTAACAGTCCCATAAGTCTTTGCGAAAGTTAACTCCACTCAGTTTCCTTTTCGTTTCTTAAGTGGCGAAAAAAGCAAATGACTTACTATGTGCAGCATATCTTCTAGAGCCATCATCCCCAAGCACGTTGTAAAATGGCTGGTTCCGACCACCAGGAGAGTTATCCACACCCATTTGTCGAATCCATAACTCGTCCATTTTACAAACAGGATCCCAACCGTATATGACACAGCCATAATTGTACCTGAATAAACAGCATACAAGGCATTGTATGTAACTACTAAGGGCTTCGACTGGCAAAATTTTTGTGTTTTGGAGTGGTGCTTAAGGTGGTCGCACATGGTAGTTGTACTGTAGAATGGCAAATAAAAATCCAAAACATTAAGCATTGCTCAATAATAACGTAGTTGAACTAGTCAGTATTTAAGTAATTGTGAAACCACTCGGTACTTTCGACTTGATAAAAATGTGGTGACGCCTTCAACAACGTGCCTTCATACTTACAACTTGTGCCTCATAACCATTCCAACTTTAAAACCAACTTCTGAATGTCTTGGATCAGACCTCAACTTCTGAAATAAAAAGGCAAGGAGGACAAGACAAAAAGATGCTTAAGTAGTCTACAACAGATATCGCCAACTTGCTGTATGCGTTTAAGCAAAAGTAATAAATTACGCATTGTTATTATTGGCCATTTTAAGGTTCCGCATGAGACTGGGTCAATGTTGTATCGAAATGCACCATGGAACTGTGCAGGGACGAATTTTGACCCAGTCGCATTTGGAACCACCAACCAGTAATGATGTGATGGCGACGTTATCTTTAATGACACTCTTGAAAGAAGGCTTCACCAAAGACTTAAATCAGGCGGATTACAAAACTTCTCGACGTGACTAGGCTCGATTTCCGCCGTCTCCCGGGTCCGGGCTTTGATCCTCCCCGAAGAGGGGGATGAGTGCGGGCTCATTTTCCCGAACAGCGGCTGGTAATCGAGCCTACGACGTGACTAACATGAAAAAAACACCTCTCTAAAAAATGTCTACGCCGTCCTGACGCTACAACGCCTCTTTGAAATTAACTTGGAACCAGTCCTTCCGCGGCGTGAGGCTTAGTCCTCGCGCGGCTTACATGCAAATTTTGAGCGAAACAAAGAAAAATCAAATGTCAATGAAAAATTAGAAAAAAATACAAAACAAATGAGAGGCGATGACGTCCCCAAAACAGCCCCATTGTGAAGTTCGTCACAACACCGACCTAGCTTCACGAGCGAAATACGTCGCGATACATGATCAGTAATCGGTTGAAGAAAGCTCCTTCATAAAGCGGGATTGTAACAGAGTTACGAAATTAGCAACCAGCAAACAAAATTCTAGAAGACTTGCGGTTAAGTAATGTAGGTATTGTATTGTGTAAAAAACGTCTAAGCTATACAAAGACGAAGAAGGAGCGATAGGCGTCCCAAAAATCGAATCAATAACCCAGGTATCCTGCGTAGTGGGAGTACATGGGAACATGATAACATTAGAACAGGACGTTTGCATTTCTTTTCTATCCCTCCCCCTTTGCTGCTGCCACGCACGGGGGTAGATAGAAACGAAAGAAAAGGACGTTTGCATTTCTTTCCCACCCCTTCCCTCCACAGGCAGGGTAACCCCCATGTTGCGCGCTCATCGCACTGACTACCATAAATCTGGAGAGGCAAACTAAAAATGACTCGAAAAAAATCTTGGCATACACATACAGGCTGTGGGGTATCATCTGCTTGATCCTGTTCAGCTTTCTTTTGCTTGGCTCGTTCAAGCATATCCCTGGCTGTGGTACTTCCGCCTCCTTGTAACATCTCCAAGCTGACAATTGCCTATGAAAATATATCTTTTTGTTTATAATCGGGATTAAGGACTAACTAAAAACTCAGCCTCAATGAACCTGAATACATGACACTTAATGCTTTAGTAGTCAAGTCACTCGGAAGCTACGGGCGAGTCAAGTAATTTTTTTGAGCTTGTAAGGGTAAAATATCCACCAGAAACCTAGGCTACTCTTTCTAGTACTGGCCATAAAATACGGGAAGAAAAACTGGATTTCTGTTGCTCATGTCTTCTTGAACAAGGGGGGATCTACTCAAACTAAGTTCAATATATTACAGTCTGTTTGAGCCTGTCTAGGCGACACAATATTCACATGAACTACTATATACTGTATTAAATTCAAAAATACTGAATAAACATTTCCGCTTTCAGTACCTCGTCCAAGTCAACTCCCAAATGTAGCTGTATTCTTGCCACAAGTAATCTGCTACTTTCATCAGAGGGGTCCAGAAGAAGTGCAAGATTCAATGAGGAATGCAGACCCTTCAACCTTACAAAAACGTACAAATAATTGTATTGCTTGTTATTCCTTCTCGTCCCAGATTCACTAATGTTTTTTCCCATTTGTAACTCACTAAACGAAATCTTAAGCAGGGAAAAGCAAAATATAACCTTTATGACAGTATTTTTCCTTGTGACGGATTCCAGGTACTGGATTTTGGATTTCTTGTCAGTCGAACTTGGATACTGGATTCTACTGAATCCTTAGCCGGATTCCGGATTCCTTGAGCTAGATTCCGGATTCCAAAGCCCGGGATTCTGGAATCCACGAACAAAACTTTCCCGGATTCAGGAATCCGATTTACCTTACTTGGGGCGAAAACTATATCTTCAATTTTTTTCTACAATTTTCAGGTTTGGTATTCTCCTGACTGAAGAGGTAAATACAGACTTAAACTAACTCCATTTAAACTTAAGAAATATTTTTCCCAAGAGTTGATTTCACACAAAAACAAATTTTCCGTTGTCAGTCTGTTACCCTTTACTGTCAAACTCAGAAAACCGTGAACACATGAAAAATTTCAGGAATGTTGATTGTATACTGACTGATTTCTCGCAACACAAGAACATTCCATAAACATTTCTAGTGTTCAAAGTTTTGTGAGTTTCACAATAACAAACGTTTGGATTCTGAAAAGTGGAAATTCTCAAAGCAAAGTGCAGCCCTGATAGCTGTTATTGTGATCTATAGTGTCTCCTTGTGGCTCAGTTGTGTATCTTGATAATGACTCAGCGTTATAAGCTCTCACCCATTGTCTTGTGGATCTCCTGCTCTGTAGCTGTTGACGATATTAGCCACCATGCGAATAAATACCTGGAAAAAACAATAAATCAACAAATATCAATGGCTTACTTCCATTCCGTGAGCGCCAATAGAACGTGTAGACTACGAGTAGTCCACATTTTTCCTCAGGGATAGTAGAGCGAGCGAAACGCGAGCGCGCGTTAAAATCACCCCACGAGAAAAGGCGACACGCGCTATAGAACGTGTGTTAAAATGATTAAGCTTCCTATTCTTCTCTGTTTGATTTTTCGGTAAGACACTTTGCTCGTTCCTCGATAATTATGTTAAACACTCTTAGAGCACGCTCTGTTCTGTGTTTGATTATCACGTTACACGACAACAATCATAGCGCGCTCTGATTTACGTTTGATTTGTTAGACGCTGTAATAGCCAGTTCAAATCTATTGTTTAGTTTCGTTAGTTACTCTTATATTAAGTGCTTCGCTCTGTGTTCGATTATTACGTTAGAAACTCTTGTGGCGCAGTTTGTTCGTTCATTGGTTGTTACGTTAGACACTCAAATAGCGCGCTATGTTGCATGTTTGATTATTACCTTTAGACACTTATATAGCGCACTCCGTTATGCGTTTTTGATTGTTACGTTAGACACTTTCATAACGCGCTCTGTTATATGTTTGATTGTTATGTTGGAATCTCCTATAGCACACTCCGTTTTGTGTTTGGTTGTTAGGTTAGACAGTCTTATAGCGCGCTCCATTGTGCGTTTGATTGTTACGTTCAGCTGTTACGTTCAACGCTCTTATAGCACGCTTCGTTGTTGCTTGTTTGTTACTCTAGAGACATTTTTATGGCGCGCTATATTGTATGTTTGTTATGTTAGACACTGATAGCGCTCTATGTCCTATTGTTTGATTGTTACGCTAGAAGCTTTCATAGCGCGCTCCGTTTTGTATTTGGTTATTACGTTAGACACCCTTATGGCGCGCTATGATTCATTTTTAGTTGTGACGTTAGACACCCGTTAGGGCACTAAACTCCTACGCCTGCCTGCGTGGCAGGCGTTAAAAGGGGAAGAGGAAGGGGGAATTTGGGCGCGCGCGAGGGAGAAAGAAAAGGAACCCCTCCCCTCCTCCCTCCTCCCTCGCGCGTGGTCTCGCGCCTTAATTCCCTTCCCCTTCACTTTCGAACGCCTGCTACTCAGGCTATTGTTATGGTAGACACTCACTTATAGTCCGCTCTGTTCGATATTTCACTTTTACGTTAGACACTTTCACAGCGCGCTCTGTTCGATGTTAGATACTCTTACAGCGCGCTCTATTCTATGTTAAACTGTTACGTAAGATAATCTTATAGCGCGCTCTGTTCGATGTTTGACGGTTACGTTAGACAATCTTATAGCGCGCTCTGTTCGATGTTTGACTGTTACGTTAGACAATCTTACAGCGCGCTCTGTTCGATGTTTGACTGTTACGTTAGACAATCTTACAGCGCGCTCTGTTCGATGTTTGATTGTTACGTTAGACACTCGTGCAGCGCGCTCTGGTCTGCGCCTGAATGATACCTTATCTACTGTTATAAAGGCACACTGAAGGCACTCTGTTTATAGCAAGCCTTGTCATATGTTTGACTGTGACAGAAGAAACTCTCACAGTGCAGCTATTGTATGTTTGATTTGTACGATATCCTTCTGCTAGAGCAAGCACTGTCGCCAGGTTTGACTCTCTTATAGCTGCAGCGGGATCTTCTTTTGCGTTTGATACTTAGCGTGTAACCACAGCTTTTTTCAAATTGGTTGCTGTCATAACCCCCGGGGGGGCACTTTAGGAATTTCTGGGTGGGGATGTGCCGCTGGGACCCTGGAACCCTTGACCTATACCAGAGCTAGTTCAGCTGAATTTTGCTACCCTATACTAGAGTAAACTTTCAAAATCCCCCTATCCTAGAGTAGCTGTTTCCCCAGTCTAGATAAAATCTTCAACCAACTGATCAGTTTCCTGAAAAATGATACCCTATTCTAGACCCAAACGCTCTGATTTATATAACCTATCCTAGAGTAAACTGCTTGAAAACCATACCCTTCACAGCGGCACATACCCATATAGCCCATATATGGCAGTACCCCCCCCCCGGGTCATAACCTTGTCTGCTACACAGCCTTTTTACTGTCGTCACGCAACGTTGCGTGACGACACTAAAACGGCTGTAGCAGACTAGTAAGTTATAACCTTATGAATTTTCTTGTTTCAAGTTTGTGGAGTTTGACTAAAACTACATTCATCAAGCTTTCAACTGCTACGATAACGCACAGTTTTTAGCCTCAAACACTGGAGAAACACAGACTAATGTTTCGTAGAATACCAGCAGTCAGGCAGTTGAGTTACAATTTCTATCGTTAATCTGTTTATTACCTGTTTGGGCGTGGCTTTGATAAAAGCGCTTTTTCGCAAGGAGGAATTATCCAGAGAGGGTGGTAAAATCAACTCAATACACTGTCCCTCTGAGAGAAGTCTTCCTCCATTAAAGCAGTCTATGTACTTATACGCTGTGGACTGATCTACCCTTTCAAAAAAAAAAAACTGTTAGCAACTCTTTCACTCCTAGCCTGTGTACAGGGTAGGAGGGAAGGAGCAAGTCTACACAGGCTATTTCACTCCCACAGGTGAAAAGTCAATGAAAATATTTCATCACAAATTCCAAACTTATGTCATTTTTGTGGGTTTGTTAATGAAGTTATCTAAATAAGAATGTTATGTTAATGATTTATTATCATCGGATAGAAGGTTCATTGTCGTGGCAGCTCATATACCCCAAGACGATAAAAGCTACAAAAAGCTAGACCCTATAACATGACTGTAAAAAAATAGTACATTAATAATTCCTGAAGAAGTTTCATTTTTTCAAATGTGATAAAATACATGTAAGGTTTAGCCCCAATTTTCTCAACAGTCCAAAGAGTATTGGAAGAATGACTGGAGGAATGAACAGATAAAGAGAAAAATTTTAGATCATTCACTAAACTAATAGCTTGTGTTTTATCATCTCTAAGACACTCTGCTGTACCTTGTGTTTTAAACTTTAATAAAACCCCTCTAGCTGCTTATTAAATGACACCTATAAGGAGTTACAATCATCACCTATCAAATCTCCCAAGCCAAGAGAAGTTCTAAGCAGTTCCAGTGGCAGTTTTAAAATTGTTATTCACGGAAATGACTGTGATATGGGATTAAATAATACTGTAAATGTTCATGTCACATACTCTGGGTCCAAGTTTGTTCTCCATCGTAGCAAAAAGTGGCTGGGAAAATTTACCTAACATTTAAAAATAAGAAGGAGAAGAAGAACTGTTAATTAGCAGTGTTGCAATAGAGGGTATTCTCTTTACATTGAGTTATTGAAGGACATATTGAACAATTTTTCTGAAAACTTGTGAAGTATTTATTTACATCAGTTTGCATTTATGCTCATTTATTTGCTTGATATTCAGGAAACTTAGAAACAAGATACAGCTGTGGCAATAATTGCCATAAGAGTTCAACCTCATTCTATAGATGAGTAATTATAACAGCATTTGAGGGTGCTACTTACTCACGTAAAAATGCAAACAAAGTTACTGCTACTGAAAACTTTTCAAAACTCACAGGCTCTAATTTAACTCCAAGTCGTCTTGCTACTCCAGCAAATAGGACTGACAGCGTGATTGGGTTGCCTGTGCGATTCTTTAACACCTTGATAAACGAAAAAATTATGTTAACTAAATGTTGAGAAATTTGTTATCACACTAAATGGAATACTGATAAAGGGAGCTGATAGAAGCTTACTCATCACAAAATAATGATTTAGGAAAATTATGAGAGTTTTTGATTGATATACAGGAAAATAATTAACATTGGGGATACAAGTAACCTGCAAGTACAGCTGCCTCTAATTACTCACTGCAAGAGGCCTTTCTGGAGAGACAGCTATATTCAAAGGACCACCTTTTTTCTTAGAGATAGGCTGGTTTTATTTCACTGTCCATCTTAACCTACTAAGACAAAGGTGAATTACACAAAAGCAACCAAATAGAAATGGATAGAGCTGCATGTTTTGGTTATACAGAGAGTTGTTCCCCTACAGAGACACAGCCCAGGCAAAATGCTTTACAACAGCAAGCAGGATAGAGCGTTTTCACATGACATCACGGCAGCCATAATGATGTCCCAATTAAAACAATGAAATGACAGCCATGACAGTGTTGCAAAACAGTCCTGTGGGGGTTGCATGCACTATATTCTTATTTGAACGCTTCCTTTTACTCCAAATTAGATTTGCATAGATGCTGTCCACATGAGTGAAAATGCTCCATACCAAGAGTAGCAGGTGGCAAAGGCCAAAACGTGAGTATTTTTTCAGTGATGAGAAGGTGGCAAATATTTCCCTGGAAGTGGCCAAAATGTTGGCTGCCGGCTGATTTTGACTGGACTGGGAGTCAAAAATTCATTTAAAACGTAAGACCATATATACCTGATGTAGCATTGAGTTTTCCTTTTTATAGTAATCGTTAACATTTCCTTTAAACTGCAGCTGTTGGTATAATACTTGCTTAAGACAGTCTATTATTCTCAAACATGCAGCAGGGTGTGTAACTGCTGGAGCTGACTCTTCAGTGCTTATAGACATCCTTTCTTCTGGAGCAGTTGTCAAAACAGTCTCTCCCCTGGTAAGATTTCCCCCAAGACTATCCTGCACCATCTTTGCTATCTCATCAAGTTCGGCAAAAGTGCTATTTTCATCAATTTCCTCCTCATTAAGTATCCATCTTGCAATTAACATGGCACCTATAACAAAGGGAAGAGCTGCTAAGAAAGTTTAGCTGGAACATGATGGTCCCAGTGAGAGTAGTCCTGAATGGGACTGCTGTTGACAGTGACTGACGTTTCAACAACCAGTGTGTAATCATCTTGAGAGTCAAAGTGAGCTGTATCATGTCAAGGGGTGGTATTAACCCTGGTTATTGACATAATTGATTAATTAAGTCACGATGTAATAAGTCTAATAATAGGCTGATTTAGCAACAGAACGGGAACGTCATTTGATGACGGGAAAGCCCGCGGAAAGGACTAAACTCGACTTCCGGTGCCCAGTTTGCCGCACAGCCATTGGTCAGGACAGTTGTTTGATTTGTGCGTGCCATCGTCAACTGACGTTCCCATTCTGTTGCTAAATTAGCCTAATACCATCAACTGACGTGATACAACTCACTTTGACTCTGAAGATGACTACTGCACAGATTGTCAAAATGTCAGTCACTGTCAACAACAGTCCTATTCAGGACCACAATCATGAAATGACTCATGGTTTCAAACCTTTTACAGATTTAAAAAATTTTATTGTAGGTTCATCAACCTGTCAGCGCTGCTGAAATGGAGAGGAGGGTGGGGCTTTGTCTCTACAGTCAGGACAGTTCAGTAGCATTGATGGTTTATCGATGTTTCATTCCAGATCATTCAAAGCCAGATCGTTCTCTGAACATTTTATAGTTAGATTGCTCCACTGTTTCAGTGTAAAACTCAATGTGAAGTGCACTTTTTTGGCTTCTGAAGAATACACACAAGTAATGCCCTTGTTTCTGCTTGTGGCCTAAAGACTTGTGAAAAGTTCTGACTATATTGTGTAACAACCTGACTATTGAGTACCACGATCTGGCTTGGAACAATCTGACGATGGAATGAAGTGAATGGATACCACAGTGACCATTGACCCTCTGTCTGGCACCATACTTATGAGCTTGGACAAACCGAAAAAGCTATCTTTCTTTAAATTAATAAAATATATATTTAACAGCTCCGTTATTTTCCAATTTTCTTTTAAAAAAATGAAAATGAAGCAAATAATCAAGCAAAATTATTTTTTTGTTATTCAGTGATTTTTGCCTGATAGTTTGTTCCAGCGTGGCTGGAAAACTGTTTCATTCTAAATTCAATACAGTTATAATCACCTTGTACCCTAAAAAGCCAAAAGTCAGAATTTCCAAATTTAATTTACAACTTGTGAAAACAAAAAACTTGTGTAAAACTAATGCTGGAAAGGTTTAATTTGATTGTTTGTGCCCCAGTAGTTCATCCACAAAACCTAACTTAATTAATAACTACATTTCATAACTCCTTTATTGACTCTTACAGCTTTAAAAGGTTATAACAATTAAGTAGATTGTTACCACTCTTGGTATTTTTACCTTTTTCAAGTGGTTGTTGTTCATCAGGTAATGCTAGAAATTGTTTCCATTCATCCTTAAGTTGGTCAATTTTGAGATAGGAGTTCACTTTCCTTGCATAATATCTGTAGGTCAAATTTACTTTGCTGCAGACAAAAATAATTAATATTTACTGATCGGAAACTATGTGAGCCACTGATGAGAAGCAAATTATTATTGCATTTGCGGATCCTTCTTGATATTCTGAGTGGCCTAGAGTTTTGCCCCAGCTCGAACCTGAGAAAGGGTTATAATAAAATATCAAAATATTTTTCTCATTACTGTTAAGTGTTAACTTAAGGGGATGGTACGCCTGCCACCCTCACACATAATTATACATGAGTCTCACACCTACATACTACATTGATCTCTCGCATCAAGGACAATTTCTCATGCCTGACTCACAAATCTGGACATGATTGTTCTTTTTTGACTTTAACACATGATTTAAATGAAAATTACTTTCAATTTCTTACTTTATCTCCTAACTGTATCACAACATGCTAAACTAGTGGCCTCTTCTTTGAAATAGCTTTGAAAGCACTCAAAGGTGGTTAGAATATCTGCAGACATTTTCAGCAATGTTTGGAAGTCATCAGAAAATCTTAGGAAAAGTCACTAGGCAATTTTTGGAAACTACATCATTACAAGACAAAAATATCATGCATTTGAGTCAGAAAAAGTTGGCAGGTATTGGATGGTTAGAATATGGTTTCAACAGCACACAAGTTTGGAACCCCTTAGAAAAATACCCAAGTCTGTCTCTGTAAAGAAACTCAATCATGCTTGTTTACAATCACTTTGTTAGTCCGCTTTATTGAAACAAATAATTATTAGTAAATCCTCCTCTCTTTACACCATACATTTGTCACTGGGTTAGTGGGACAATATTTAAATATTAAATGCATTCCCTTTGGGTAATCACGTACTAACTTCCTTCTTAAGACCAGTCTCTAATAACTTAACTGTGGCCGTTTGAATGCAAAACTGATTTGATACTGATCATTGTTGGGCCATTATTGATTTAATGTTGGAAACCCAAAGACAAGACTGAGAAGTTTCAGTTATACAGTTGAACCTCTCTTTAATGGCCACCTTGGGGACAGAAGAAAGTGGCCATTGTTAAGAGGTGGCCGTTGTAGAGAGGTTTTAAACAAGAATCATTAAGTATGGATTTTTTGTCTGCCAGGACAAAAAAAGTGGCCATTGGTAGAGAGGTTGCTGTTAGCGGAGGTTCAACTGTACACTTATTTCTTACCAGACATCTCCTTGTAACAGTTCATGCAAGGAATCATCAATATGACAAGACTGCCAAGGACTCTCCTTTGCTAAGAGCACAAATCTTTCAAGGTCTTTCTTGTAGACATCTACTTTAGTATAATACTTTCTAGATATAGTCAGCAAAGTATGGTGAATTTTTTGCTCCATAAGAAATCTGTCCCTGTATGTTGTTGACCAATTTTCTCTTGGCACATTCTTCCAAAAATTCCATCTGAAAGTTACACAATGTGGAGATAAATAGAAATACATTAGTTTGCTTCTTAATAAGATACACTTTGTCTTCAAGACACATAATTTGATTACTATGAATATCACTGAAGTAGTTTAGAAGTAAATCAATATCTAACATTAGTCCCGGGGAAAAAATTTAACTAGTTCCAGAGGAACCAGTCATAAAGTGATTTGTTATACACCCCAAGAAGAGAAAATTGAGAATCAATGTGTTCAATTTATGAATCAAAGTTAAGCATAGTGAGGGATCCCCAGGGGAAGCGGTACTCAACAAATGTTGATACTGAGAGGCTCCACCACAAGATCCAACCCCTCACCCATTTTTAACAAAAAAGGTACCCCTTTTGTATACCTTCTATTAACAAATGGTACCCCCTTCACATACCCTTTTTAGAACTTTGCATCCCTTTAAACTGCTGTAAATGCACTGTCTTTTAAATAGGAATCAAACACAAAAATAGAACCTTTTCTCCACTTTATAAAGCCATAAAATTCATTTCTTAGTCCTTTTGGGCTCTTTCACAGACCCAAATGACAGATTTCCCTACTCTTTTATATACTTCAACTAGTGAAATCCCTACCCTTTCATATACCTTAAGTCAAGCAGAGCCTCCCCGTATAGGCCATCATGGGGAGTACTGTCTTAAATTTATAGCATTTTCAATGCTGTGTTTATTCAAGGGCGATGTTTTTGCTGAACTGAACTTTGCAGACTTTGATCTATTGTTATTATTGCATAAATTGCTCTTCTCTTTTGTTTATAGCTTGGTGGGCGTGATATTTCACTGATTGCAAACATTTTTTCACTGACAATAATCACGGTTTTGTCATCAAACCAGTTCTAACCAGTGGAACTGTTGCCTGGAAACCCTAGTGATGCCAATTGGGACGCTTCGCGATTTTGTTGCTAGGCGACTGCAGATACCAAATTGATAGAAAGATTTATGAACAAAGCCAAATCACACTCTGCTTATGATGACGTCACACTGCTGACGTCAATTGAGACACCATTGCTAAGGAACTGCGGATACCAAACCGATAGGAAGATTTATGACCAAAGCCAAATTGCACTCAGTGCTAATGATCCTCGCGCGTTCCATGTGCTTTGCGTGCAACAAAACTATAAATTTGCTTTCGCAAGGCGCTTAACGCCTCGCTTTGCTTGGAATCAGGTATAGTTTTTTCTCAAAAGGTAACACACACACCTACCCTCAAACTTCTACCCAAATTGACAAAATGTTCCAACGTCTGTCATCTACTTTTACTTTTCCCACTGGGAAAAACACATTTCAATGGAAATATTCAAGAGATAGAGTACTGTTGATACAGCTACCCGTCACCTCATCAATAGGAGATGGTGGGGGTAAGGTATGAAGTGGATATACTCCATTTTGCAAGCTTACAAGAAAATAAACACCCATGATCAGTCACACTTTAGATTATTAACATACGTTTAGATTCTCTCTCTGTTTGGGTCGTAAGAAAGGAATAGGCTGAAAACACGCACGAAAACTAGATTTAACCGAAAATTACCAAATTTTCAAGGCAGATAAGCTCGAAATATGTCCTTTACCTCAAAAGTGATTTCTTTTTCCACACTTCATTTCCCATTGCAATTCGATTCAACCTTCTACAAACTTGGGCACAGCGACACAAATCTTGGTGATCAATAAAAGGATAAGACAACACCATATCAATCAGTTCATCAGCTAATGAAAGCAAACAGCTTTCGTCTTCTTCTAAGGGTCTCTTTTGACCTTTTTCTTCCTCCATATCCAACGATTACTTTCCCATCTGTGACTGTCAGCCTGTCAGCCATATATTTTTGTGGAACCCAGACCCCCAACAAGGGAACTAGTTTCCACCCTCCTCCTTGCCCCTCTCCTATGCGAGCTCCTGTGTCCACTTCCCAACCTCATTTTTCGAACGCCGTTAACTTGAGTTACAAGTTATAAAACGAAAATCTCAGAAGTCTGCTTTATTTTACTTGAGGTTCAACTATGCTTCTCTAGAGACCTCCAGAGATCTGCACAGGAAGGTGCCATTTTCAGATTGAGTTGGGAGGGGGGGAAGGAAGGAATGGGGTAGGGGAACTCTATCAATATTTGGGCATGGGTAAGCTGCTGACGGTTTGAAACTCTGAACCTGTTTAGGACAAAAAAATCCTAAGATGCATAACCAGTCTGGTTTGAAAGCCATTTACTGGAAATTTCAATGGAGAAATTGCAGTGGGAGAGGTACTCCTGGGAATTCTTAGTGGGGGTGTGCCACCCTGACCCTATTTCAGACCAAAAAAAATATCATTTTCTTCACCCGTTTCGGACCTGACCTCTAACATCCATACCCATTTTCAGACCTCACGTCTTGGCAGAAGTTATGGCATCATTACTCAGATTAGAGCACAACCAAAAAATTTCTTCAAATGCATTTGGAATTCACTTATTTCTAGTTCTTTCCTATTCATTTGGAATTGAAACGATAAATACGTCCACAAAACCATACCCAATTCCAGACTAAAATGAGCAAAGTGTATACCCCTTTTTCAGACCAAAAAAGCCCAAAAGCCATACCCTTTGGGCACATACCTATATTATATGACTTATATAAGAGTACCCCCCCACCAGCAAATTCACTCAGATCAGTTGTCATTGCTTTAATTTTGTATACTTCAAGCATCAAGTAAATCACAGGCACACCAATATATGGTCAGCAGTGTCGCTGAGTTTCAAGCAACTGAAAGTAAAACAAAAACACAGAAGTAAATGCTGAAACCATATGGTAGTTTATCTCAATTCACCTTCCTTACCATATATTAACATTTTGGGATCACAAGGTGCAAACTTCTATGTTTCATGCAGCATTCTTCCCACTTCTTGAATAAAGCCGAGAGCAGGTGTCACGAAAGACAGTAAATGTTTGACACCACATGTCACACGTGACGTCATCATGCCCCAAACAGTTCTGTTGGTCTGCCTGTGAGCAAACCAAATCAGTTGTGCAAGCAATACCCTGTTTGTTATCAAGACCGACTTGCGTGAAATTATATACCCTATTTAGGACCAGAGAGGACAAAAACCATACTCAGTCACACTCAGTCAAGTGGCACATCCCCATATGGGCCTTCAAGTGGAGTATACCCAACAGGGGTAAAGAGGACTGTTATGCTTCAAAGTGCAGTTGAAACTCCACAAGAGCACACTCATATAATGGGCTATAAATGGAAAAAAGCTGTTTTTTCTCTCTAATAAAATGCAACACAAATGCAGGCACCATGTATTTTTCGCATTAACCAAGAGTTAACCTGGTACCTAGTTTCCATGGTTTCTGCCAAGAACCCTGACCCGCCTTTTGGCGACCAACGACAAAGACCAGAAACAGCTTGCAAAAGTTTTAGACTCTTGCTGTTACGCAAGTTCAAGTAACCTCTTGCTGCTACACAAGCTCAAGTAACAATTGATTTCTTACCCAGTTACGTTTCTTAACCCTTTACACCCCATTATTAGAGTGTTGGAAAGCACTATCCATCAGATAAATCACTTTTTAGTGGATAAGCATTATGGAGAACAATAATAATTATTGCCTGTTTCACTGGATTGTTATCCACTTTCATTCAACTGGGTCCAGGTTTCTCAAAATACAATATGCCGCTAGCTTGTCAGGAAAACTGTGAGTGATGAGATAACCTAGGGTATTTATTATTTAAGAGGGAAACCCAGAAATTCCAAATGAAACCTCAAATGGTATGTGCCATTCCGTTTACTTCAGCTGTTCAGTTGATTTGGATATACTTTGTAGTGGGCAGTTCTCTGGTGAGAAATATCAACCGTCTCTTCCCACACTCCTACAAGTAGTTAAGATGAAGAGACAGATGACATTTCAGACCAGCTATTCTCCCACCATGTCAAATTTTAATAGTAATACACAAGATGTCCACCCGGGTGGTTTGAGTGAATGGTAAGCACCCCTAGTGGGCTGCCATCAACACTTTTGTGAGGTGGACAATGATGAAAACCCTGCACACACAATCACCCAAACAAAGAAAACAACAGACAGAAAATGTTCATCTGAAGAAAACTTTTAATGGTAATCAAGAATTTAGTTTTTAATGCAAAAGTAAGCTTGACTTGTCTTTTTGCCTTCAATTACTTATCTGCACAAAATCCAAGGCCATGGTGCTCCTGAAGTGAAAAGGTTAGTAAAAACAAATTCCCAAGGGGGGCATTTCCTTGAAAAAGGACTAGCTGGAAGGGTACTTATCCTAACCTTCAGGGTGACGCATGCAAGGGCAATGGGGAATGCAGGAGTGACTGGAAACCAATTGGGAAGCAAACCTCAGCCTTAAATTGCAAGTTAAAAGAAAAGTCTAGGAAAGGTACCATCATGGAAATTTCATCAAGACTGAATTGTCATACCACAATGATGTTAACCTCCACACTACAGTGCTTTGTGAGAACCCTAATTGAAAGAAAGTGATTGTTTTCCTCCTGACTTTCCTCCAAAAATGTTGAAACCAGTTAACATCCAAATCCTTTGCATGTGACAGAGATCCAAAATTTTGACTCCTGATAGTTTCCATTGTTCTGTCCCAAAACTGTACTGGAGGTGATCTCCAGATCCTATCCTAATCCGTGATCCCTGACACTGACATGAGAGGATCCGGTTTCCTCCAGACAGCGTTAGATCTGTCATAGGATTATAAAGAAGTTAACTTGTCAATACACTTGCACAAGACTTTTCATCAACTCTTCTTATCCCACCCTAAAAGCTGTGCCTTTGCTGGCAGGCTACTTATGACCCTCTAAGCAAAATTACCCTTAAGAAAATTAATACTGTTGAACTTTCGGGCACATCCATCTCTCATATCCAACAGGTTAGTCAAAACAGCTAACTAAAAATAATCACACGACTAAACTTGAGCTACAACTCTCCTATGATGAACTCTCATGTTCTTTTGGTGGTCTTTAGTGACACTTTTCTTCTGAGATGATTTGTCACTAAGATCTTACAGAAACCATCCAGAGAAATCTGCTGAACTGCTTTATTCTTGCATTAAAGTACAGATTTATCCTAAGATACCAAAAGTGAAAATAAAATGAAACAAACTAGTTGGTCTCTACATTTAAATGAATCATTTATAACTCTCCTACTTGAAATTCAGCACTTCGCTTATTTGGGTGGATTTAAAAAGTGGCACATTTTTTCATGGAGCATTGTATTTTTGAAGAGAAGCCATGCATACCATGTCCGAAGAAAATGTCCTATGTCCAATTGTTCCTACTGTTTCCATATGTCATTGTTTCCTTATCCAGTTTGTGATATCCTTAGCAAGACTAGTGCAGAAACATCTACAGACAGTTGTTTTGTTTCCTAGCTTTCCTTTCCATAATCACAAATTGCTTGTGCCACCCTGAAAATGACATCATGGAAGAGTAAAAAAGGCACATGACCACAAAATTAATATAAACAATAAAATGCTACAAGCAACTACTTTTCTGTGCTTCAAAGCCAAAAAAAGAGAGAAAAATACATAAAAGGAAAAACACTGGCAATGTTTATGAACGTGAGCGAGAACGTGATCTGGAACGCCTTGGAGAAGCAGATCTCTTTCTCTTTGGTGACCTTGAAGGGGACTTGGATTTCTTTGGTGAATATGATCGACGTGGACTGCGGGAGCGGGATCTCCTTTTCGGAGTTCTACTTCTTGAACGTGATCGACTTCGGCTTGGAGATCTACCTCCACCTCCACCACTACCACCACCACCGTGGCTCCTACTGTCTGCCTTGACACGAATGAATGCAACTTCACCCTAAAAGGATTAAAGAAAGGTATAATATATTAAAATAGTCACTTTCACAAAATCCTTGTTGTCACATTGATCGAGCAAAAGAGTAATCTAATGGAATTGCATACCTCATGCGAACGGAACTTGGAATCATCAAGATGCTTCAGGGCATATTTCATGTCGTCATAATGAGAATACTCCACAATACCAGTGCCATCTTTGAAGACATCAGTAAACTGAACGTCACCAGCATCCCGCATGTGGTCCTTGAGATCTTGCCAACTACCAGTAGGAGGCAGTCCAGATACCAAGACACGGTACTCAGAGCGACGTGGAGGAGGGCCCCTTCCATATCCGCCGCCGCCGCCACCACCACCACCGCCACCACCAAATCCTCCTCCACCACCACCCGACCTACCCCCACGTCCACCACGAGGAAACTCCACTCTAATTCTTTGACCATCAAATTCATATCCATCCCTTCCTCTTACTGCATCTTCAGCATCCCTACAGAGACGAAAACGATTAATAAATCAATAGCTTTTTTCTCAACATTATCGTTCATAAATTATTAATAAGCTTACCTTCACTTCGACAGTCATAAAATTTACATCTTTGCGAGTCTTTTTTCTGAACAGGGTGAAAAGCGCCAATTGACCAATTTCACCGGAAAGAAAAAATTGAGCGAATTTCCGAAAGACTCGTTTTGAGGGAAAATCGGAACATTAAATAGCCACACGTTATTAACAAAGCCTTCTCGATCTCAACGTCACAAATGAAATCGAAACCCGAACTCCTTGAAGTCTAGAAAACCTACCATCCAAGCTATTCAAAAGGATATCGTGCAAAGTATTTCAAAGGGTTCAAAAGAAATACATCACATATTTATGTGCGTACCTTGGATCCTGAAATTCAACAAAGGCAAACGGAGTGCCGCCAGTACCATAACGCGGTAGTTTCAAGTCAACGTCAGCAATATCGCCGTACTTGTAAAAAATATCTTCCAAATCTCTCTCATCTATATTGGAAGGTAAATTACCTACGTATACCCTCCTGTTGTTGTTGTTACTTCGATTCATGGACGTCATGACGTTGTATTCTGCTCAAACAGTAGCGCGTTCTCAAAGAAAAAGATAGCTGCGACGCGTAAAATTTTAAAGATGGCTGACCACGAGTTTCAACAAAGCTGTTAACGGGGCGTCCGTTTGGTAAAACAGGGACTTTTGCGCATCAATGATTTATAGCTCGCGAAGATTTGTGGGTTGATATAGGCTGGTGAAATATTAACTAGAATTATCCAATCATATTCTACTCTTAGACGACTGCATCCTATCAGTTGAACGGAAGTAAATACTCCCCTCAGATCTTCAGGTTGTCAAAACCAGACGGAACAAACAAACTTTCCGAATTTTCCGCGTGGAGGGGGAACTTACAGCTCTGTTCATACAGATTGTCCCAGTAAATAGAAGTAAAGGTTAGTAAATGTCGGCTCTTACAATGTAAGGATAGTTTCTACACTTAAGATTCTGTTAGATAGTTTTTTAATCTTTAAGTGTATTTTATAAGTGAGCTAATGAAATTAAAACTTGCTTACACATTTCTTCTCAGGAGTAAAAATAAAACAGGCTTATGAAATACCTTACACAGCCTGTCAACAGATTGCTCTTGCATAGATCTTTGTATTCACCACATTTTACAACAAAATCCTTTGAAAATGTGGACATGTTGATGGTTGCTATGGAAACAGTTAAAGGTTTTTATCCACTGATCTACTTTTTAAGGTGCGTACTAAAATCCAAATGCGGATTTTAGTCTAAAAAGGGACGTTTTGTTTCTTTACCAAATTCCAAAAAATGTAGCTGGATTATTTGGATCACTATCCAGCTGAACTGGATAATTCGGATACAAGACCCAAAGCGTTTCTTTGCTACAGATCCGAAAAGAGTGACTACTGCCAGCGGTAACTGGAAACAATTTTAATACTTACACCAGCTGTTTGACTGCACTGCTCATCTTTACAGCCGCTTTTTGAACCCAAGGCATGGATTAAGCAATCAATTTTATCCGTTTTTCTGGGGGGTAGAATTGTAATGCCAACAGGGTGTGCATTGTTGTAGTTCATTACAGGAAAACTGCTACACAACTTTGCTGGCGCATCCTTCAAGAAATTACTTTTCCAGTACGTACTGTAAAATTCCGAAAATAAGCCCTGGGGCTTATATTTTTCAAAGGTCGATCCTTTTTGAGGGGCTTATATTTGGAGGGGCTTATCTATGGAGGGAAATTTGGGTCTCAAAATCGATTGGGCTAGCGTTATAGTTGGACGTAAATTTTCCGTTTTTGCTTTTGATTTAACGGAGGGTTTTTTACGTTACCAGTTTGAGGGGCTTATATTTGGAGGGGCTTATTTTCCGAATTTTACGGTATCTTATTCTAAATGTTGTCTTCATTTGGCCCATCGAAGGCAGTTTCCATGAACTAATTGCCTAGAATACAATGAAAGATCAGCAATCTTGCAATACTGTCAGCAGCTGTGTTATTCTTTTGCGGGGTTACCATTGTTCTTGTGAATCGTTTCTATGTAAAAGAATGAATAATAATCCTTTTTTGGATACATTGTTTCTTTTCTTAAAAAAAAAAAATCGCAATGAACTGGATTTTTGATCTGATTTTGGATTTTAGTGAAAAAACACACCCTTAGTGTGTGTCTTTATTCTATGCGTGAATGATTAATATTATGTAAAGAAAAGCAAGATGAAGTTATGCTCAATCTTTTGTGTAACTGTTGTAGTTAATTTTTTGCCTCAGGTAATTTTTATTTTTCTTCTGTTTCAACTTCATTAGCAATCATTACCATACCCAAAAACAAAATAGAAACAAAAATTACCTGAGATAAAAAATTAACTACAATATATCTCCACCCATATTGTTCAGATGAGTGACAGAAAAGCAGTAATAAAAAATGCAGACATGTCAGAAGATATTCAGCAAGATGCAGTGGAGGTTGCTACACAAGCCATGGAAAAGTTTAACATCGAGAAGGACATAGCAGCCTATGTGAAGAAAGAATTTGACAAAAAATACAACCCAACATGGCACTGTATTGTGGGAAGAAACTTTGGTTCATATGTGACACATGAAACCAAGCATTTCATCTACTTCTATCTTGGACAAGTTGCTGTTCTACTGTTTAAATCTGGTTAATCCTGCAGCTCAAGTGTGAAATGTCCATTATTTGACAGGGAGAAAAATGAATTTGTTTTTGTCTTTCTTTTTTCTATTTAGTTTCACCATTACTCAAAGTGGTGGTGTTTGCAAATAATGTGAATATATTAAGTTGAAAACACCCTGGCACTACATGTATCTTTTTAAAAATAAATTACTATTTGTGTGGTGAATTGATACTTTTATTGTGTGAATACCAAATGACAATGAGTTTCAGAAAGATGCACACATTCTTTTTTTAAAAATAAAGTGCCATTTCATAAACGACGCAAGGCTCAGTTTTTCTTCCTTCTTTGATTAGCCTCAGATATGGTGGGTGGATCTTGCCTAGTCCCTAGGCCTCATCATTATGCACGGCCTATGCGTTTCGGGTCACGTGGTCCGACAAAATTTTGAGGCCCAGACAAACTCGGAGAAGTGAGACATTTTGTCTCACTTGGGGCGGAGCTTTTGGAAGTGGGCAAGCTGTCAATAACTTTTCTGCGCTGATGTAAGATCTCCAGCAGCCATGGAGAGTACAGGGGATAAAGACGTAAACCAAGCATTTTTATTCTATGTACGTTTTCATTGTTGAAAGTCCTTTGGCCTCTCTTTTTCAAAAACAAGGTTCCACCATATCAAGGTTCTTTTGTATTTATTTTACTATTACTCTGATGTAAAAATAGTTCCTTATAATTATCGTGGACAGTGATCTTGTTCCACTGTAGCTTGCTGATGAGAAAGTAGCAGTAAAGCAAATGAGATGAATTGTGGGCAGAAAGAGTGTGTTCTGTCTCTCTTCTTTTGCCCATTCCAGTTTAGCTTCCCTGTTTGGCTATAGCCTGATTCACAGACATCAGAGATGAACTGAGACACCTTCACTTTAGGAGAGGGAGAGAAGTGAAGGGGCTGTGATCGACCTTAGACATTTGATTATTGGGCTATTTTGGCTGGTAACTCATCCCCTTAGTTGCTTGCTTCTCCCTATTGATAAGACTAGAGTAATTTACGAGCCAAGCATAATGCTCATGGCTTTGTTCACATGATCAACTACACCCTTGCAGCTTTGCTGCAAAGTGGTATGGTGATGCCCCCGGGGCACTTTAGGAATTTCTGGGTGGGGATGTGCCGCTGGGACCCTGGAACCCTTGACCTATACCAGAGCTAGTTCAGCTGAATTTTGCTACCCTATACTAGGTGATGCTGTTTCCCAGTCTAGATAAAATCTCAGTTTCAAAAATGTCTGAAGATTTATATACCCTATCCTAGAGTAAACTGCTTGAAAACCATACCCTTCACAGCGGCACATACCCATATAGACCATATATGGCAGTACCCCCCCCGGGGGTGATGCCCAACTTCTCTTTCAGTCTGAAGAAAGTCTCTGGTACTAAGGGTGTCTTACAGTCGAACCAGGAAAACTGTGAACACCAGAAATATTTCTGGAATGTTATTGTGTTGCAAGAAAAAAGCCAATCAGGCGCGAGAAAACTGAACCGCAAACAAGAACGTCAGTTATTTTCCAACGAAATTGTGTATGGGTCATATGTTAAATGTACATACCGTAAAATACCGAAAATAAGCCCCTCCATGTATAAGCCCCTCCAAAATATAAGCCCCCCAAAATCGCAATGCAAAAAACCCTCCATTAAATCGCCCCTCCTATAAGCCCTCCCCCGGGGGGCTTGTACTCAAATACAAAGAAAAACAAAGAAAAAATGGTAAATTTCCTTCCCACTACAAGCTAGCCCAATTGATTTTGAAACGCAAATTTCCGTCCATACATAAGCCCCTCCAAAAATAAGCCCCTCAAAAAGGGCCTTTGAAAAATATACGCCCCGGGGCTTATTTTCGGAATTTTACGGTATTTCGTACTTCTCCTGCCCCTTTTTCTTTCATACTGTTTCCCTTTCCCACTGAGAGACGTTCGAAAGTTTCCGAAGAGAACTGGGCAGTACATTGATTCACGCAGTGCATTATGGGTTGATATAGGCCGCCAAAATAAGCTACTAGAAATGAACCAATGAAATTTGAAATATTAGGTGTACCATCGCGTGGTTAATCAAACTCTGAAGAAGGGATGTTGTAGTAATTTGTTTGATTTGTAGCTGTTTGAGAAAGGGAATATCGGTGGCGAAGGTTTGTGTAAGTTGCGGAAAGCTGTTTTTAGACAAGGTAACCAATTCGCTTCTTTTGTACATTTCATTTTTCTCTGTGCCTTTAAATGTAGGCGTGGTCGTGAAGGGAGGCACCCCTCTTTTTTCGTGAGCTTCTTGGAGCGTGGTATATCTTATTCTCATAAGGTCGTTTTTCACGTATTGAAAACAAGTTGTACACGTCTTGCCTTTATGTCGATTTCTAGATGACAGACCGAAAATCAGTGATAAAAAATGCTGACATGACCGAAGACATGCAGCAAGATGCCGTCGAGTGTGCCACACAAGCGATGGAAAAGTTTAACATCGAGAAAGACATCGCGGCTTATATCAAGAAGGAATTTGACAAGAAATACAACCCAACTTGGCACTGTATTGTTGGAAGGAATTTTGGCTCGTATGTGACGCATGAAACCAAGCATTTCATCTACTTCTATCTTGGTCAAGTGGCGGTGTTGCTTTTCAAGTCTGGATGAGTTGCTCGTGCAGAACGAAATTGACAAGAAAGAAACAACTTCTTATGCGGAAGTCTGAACTCTGAGCGCAAAATTGCTAACAAGCTTAGCCAGCTCTATTTATAAATACAGTAAGACAGTAGTATTGCATTTCATTTAGGGAAGCGACGTTGTTGCCATCCTTTCGATAAATAATAGAAAAAAAGATTATATTTTGTGTGTGAAGTACATAAGTTTAAGTCTGAATAATGCTGTAGTGAAAATCACGCAACAGCATGTACAGCTGTATCCTTAATTGTACTTTCAGTTCTATCATCTTCAGAAACCCTTTTTGTAAAGCTTTCAGACAATAAAAAATAGTCCGTCTACATGACTCATGCAATCTATTTCATTTTCTTTTTGTTTCCTGGTTACCTTGTGGGACAGGGTTAATGAATCTCTAAGCAGATGGTCTGCACAGCACTACTTGCTAGCATGTCCCCGGGCCGGAAGCATATCTTTGTGAATGAAAAGTTTGTGGTGGGATCTTGGTAAATCTCCTGATTCAAATGCTATTTTTTAGCATTTCATAAAGTAGCTCTTCAGGAAAATCGTTTTCATTTAGCTTGGGATAATATTTTTTAAAGACAATTTTTTTTTATTTTGGGGTTAACATCTTGTCTGAGTGTCACTTGCTAGCTACACTATTCGGCCCTGGCGCTGGTTTTTGAATCAATGGATAGTGCTATCCTCTGGATAAATCACCATCCAAGGGATAAGTATAAATATTTATGGAAACCAGTTGTATTATCCACTGGTAAGAGATTTATCCAGTGGACACTGTTAACAACTATCCTCACTTGGAGTAAAAGTTAAAAGAGACTGGTACAACTTAAAATATTGCTCATCACTCTTAGTAATACAGGGTCCAAATTTCAATGGTTGGGCTTCTCACAGGCTCCCAAAACCTACCACAGTGGTGTTTTCCAGAAGGCTTTTTTATGAGGCAACACCTTACTAAAAAGAATTGCAACAACTTCAGAGGCAAAGAAATTCAGTGAAACCTCTATTAAGCGGACCCCTAATTAAGTGGACACCCTCTATTAAACGGACACTAAGCCAGGTCCCGAAACAAATGTCTCATAATTCCCTTTATAAGAAACCCCTATTCAGAGGACACCTCTAGTAAGTGGATGCGGACACTAAAATAAGTTGTATTTGGCTAATTTCTATTGTTAAAAACCTCTATTAAACGGACACCGGACTGAATTGACAATAGTAGTATTGAATTATGTCCTTGAAATACGTACTGAAGACAGTTAGTGTTTTTGCATTTACAAACAAATAAAAAGTTGGTAATGCAAGGTAACGAACTTGAACTCTGGATAGCTTCTTTAACAACATGCAACTTTATTACGGTACAGAGTAACTGTTGAATGTTGATCATTAACAAACATTGCACAATTTTTACAACCCTTATTAAGCGGACACTTAGGAAGGTCCCGAAGGTGTCCGCTTAATAGAGGTTTCACTGTATTGTTTAATACCAGTAATCCTTTAGTCCTGAAACTTAGCTTATCTTGAACAGAATCATACAATTACCCATTTACACAGTTTTTTCTTACATGTAAAAATGTCCATTGATGACTTTTCTTAAGTCTTAACTCACATCGTATTAATTTAATAAACGACTTCAACCAATTAAGGTAGCTTAAAGCCTGAGTGAATGGCTGCTATTCCAAAGCTCAAATTCTCATAAGTTACATGACGAAATCCAGCATCTTCAATCATTCTTGCAAACTCCTCCTATAAAGCACAAAAGATTTGAGAAAATAAAAGGACAGGTCAAACAAAAGGACAATAACTGCATTTTTTATCCTAGGGGTGGGGTGGATGTGGAGATGCAGGGTGTGAAAGAGAGGGATAGATCATAAAGTAACACTCCATCCAGATTTGTCATCAACATAAGAATATGTAGCATTTGGATAGCCATGGGCAGCCCAAGCTCAGTGAACATAAAACTTGCTGTGTTGGAATTATTAATCAAGACTGTTAATATCCTATTAAATGCTTGGGGCATCTATTTAATTTCAGTGGTCAAAGGAGGGGCATTTAATAGATGGGAAGTGTTTAAAACAGACAGGTGTTTATTCCAATAAGCTTTTTATCAAGGTAGTTTAAAAATAGCAGAATATCCACTCAATCATGATTGATACAAGTAGGCCATCTTGAGACTTATGTTGCTCTTTCAAATCCCAGCATCGATTTCAGAATCCTTGCTTGGGGTTGATAGTTGATCTATCCTTACTTTGGAATTGACATGGAACAAGATGAAATGCGCGACGCCTGGTTCATTGATCAAGCAAGAAACTGAATGAATTGAATGATTTTACTCTGCTAATACCTAGTACTTTGGAGTAATTCCCACAGGAGGGCATCTATCAGACAGGAGGTGTTTATTAGAGACGGGGGATCTAATACAATTTTAACAGTTTCGAGGAGGCGTTTATTAGATGAGAAGCGTTTATTTGGAGGTGGGCATTTATTAAGCCATTTGTGGTATTTCTGATTTTGTAACTTTTTTCCCCGTGATTTTCAGTTTTGAGACCTCCTGAAGATGAAAACACCATCAAAAAAGAGTAAGGATGCTGTACGCAGTCTTTCTTTTCCTTTTTGCCACTTTGCTGTTTTGTCAGACACTATTTTGCCACTTTTTTCTTTGTGAAAGAAAAGGATAAAAAGCAGTACTTTACATGTAGTTTAATGTGACTCGAAAACTTATTTTGATCTCTGCAATTCCTGATTGGTTATTTTTTTGGTAGATGAACAGAGCCAGAACCCTCCTCTCCCTCCCCCCCCCCCACCAGGTACAACCCTCAATAACCACCCAACAGCATTTCCTGAAAACCAAACAAGTTACACACCTGGTTAGGAAATTGTCTAATGCTTTCCACCAGGTACTGATAGGACTTCCAATCTCCAGCAATCACATGTCCCATTACTGGTATAACATCAAAGGAATATTTATCATAGGCGCTGTAAGTTCAAAAAGCAACATGTAAAAATACTTGTCTCAAAATATTTATAAATAATAATAGGTTTTCAAACTTTTGGCCAAATCCCTTGACTGAGAGCTTCAGCGAAAAATTGCTCTTTCTACTCAACAAAATATAGGGGAACTAGGATGTAAAAAAGTCCTAGAAATCATGATATAGTAACAAAATTATATTGATTAAGATAGCCTCATGTAATTGAGTAGTACAACTGAATAATACCTTGCTATAAGCTTGTTTTGAACCTCACTGAATTCCAAACAAAGAAATCTTCCTCCAGGAGCTAGAACTCTGTAAGCTTCACTCAAGGCCTGATGTTAAAAGAGGCAAACTGAAAAGTTACACATTTTAAAAACATTTGAGCTATTTACAAAGTAATCTATCAAGAATGTTGACTCTGAACTAATCTGCTGTCTCCTGTGGGGTAACATCTGATGATCATTTGGAAGAGGTGGCCACTGAGTTAACCCTTTAAGCCAAAATATCAAATATCCTGGACATGTTCCTTATACATTTGTTTTCAGACTAATAATGAGAATCTGTTCACAGTTTGAGGAAATTTTGTCTTAAAAGAATATTTCCTTATGTCTCATTACCTGTAATTGATGTAATAAATTTCCCCACAGTATTTCTGAACAAGCCCAACTAAACAAGCATTTATTTTTTAAAATAATCACAAGATATAAGGTACAGGATGATATACATCAGTTTTGAATAATGCTGTTTATTTACAAATACAAAGTACTGGTATAGCCTAGGGTTCATGAACTTGTAGCATCAATACCCTGCAAGCAAAATCTCCACTTGGGATGTGTATTTGCTTCATGGTACTCACAAGAGATGTTACAACCCAGCCACTCACATCTCTCATTTGCTCGCCTTCTGCTTGCAGCCCCAAAAAGAAAATCTGCAAGCAGGCTAAGGTGCAGCATCCCAAGATTTACCTTGTGTATTCTTGTAACATTTCTAATCCCAAATGCTATCGTAAAAGCATCAACAGATGATGAAGCTATAGGGAGGTCTTCAGCATCTCCTTCAATCCATGAAATAGCTACCTCAGAGGAAAGCAAATCAAATACCTTATTATTGAATTCACTGCAGGCAAATCTATCTTGAGCAAAAACAAAATGTTTCTTATATTTCATAAGGAGTGGGGATGCCCATTGTTTTTTAGAGTTATAAATTGTAGGTTTTGGTCACAAAGGGTGTTCAGGATGGAAATAGCTTAGTTTTTTTACACAGGTATTGTTACACATACAAAAAAGAAGACAACTAAAGAATGTCAAAAAGGATGACACAAATAATCGTTTGAATTATGACAGCTTATATATTGGCTCTTATTGGGTTGTGTGTTTAAGACAAATTTGTCTCCTTTAAACATATAATTCCAATCTTCCAACACACATCTGCACCCCTTTAACATGTGGGCTGTAACTGCCCTGGGGTGCAAAGCTGGCTAAAAGCATCTACCTGAAGTATGATGGAATCTTGCAGCCCTCTTTTGGCCAACCTCGAGCATGGCTCTGTTAATATCGCAGACAGTAACATGGGCTTCAAAAGTTTCTGACTGTGCTTTTCTTCTTGGGAGTTTGTTCTTCACATGGTTGAGAAACCGGAAAGCTATGTCTCCTGTATGAAACAAATTCAAGAGACATAATGTTTATACTAATGTTGAACAAATAGAAGACCCAGGAACCAAGAGAGGTAGAGAAAGGGGGCTTGCTAAGAGGACATTTTTCCCAATTATGATTAAGGAAATCTGTTTCTGGTCAAATCAACCTACAATGCCGTACTGCTAAAATTTCCTCGGTGAAAAACATCTACATCTACATACAAAAAATAAATAAATAAAATAAAATAAAATAAATAATCAAAAAACAAAGTTAAAAGTCAGTGGATCAGCCAAATTAAGTAAAAAAAGCATTAAATTTGCAGCAAGTCTAAAATTGTCAGTCTAATCAATGTCTAAAATATTAGGTGGTAAAGAGTTCCAATCATTAATAATAATTATGACTGGAATTCTTTACCACCTTATATTTTCAATTATTGTCCTTGGCCGCAAACTGAATTTGAAAGCATCACAAGAAGTGTGGACAGGGATGAATTTAGGCAGGTGAAAATTTCAAGTTGCAGAGCTGGACTTGTGTTGGACATTGGATGGAATGGTGATTGCCTGAGTATTGTCTGCATACACTCCAGATTTCCCAGATAAAAGTGTACATAGTAAGCAGTCACAACCAAGGAAGCACACCACAAAACCACAAGTTACCGTTGCTACTTGTAGTTTAGCTTTCTCACGCTTGATTGGCTTTTTTCTCAGTGAAATGTAATAGCATTCCAGAAAGATTCAGTGTGACCTTGGTTGGTCTGTGTACAATAAGGTAATAAACTACCTGTGCCTCCAGCAACGTCCAATAGTTTTGTTCCAGATGGAGGATTTAGTACTTTTATCAGTCTATCTTTCCATAATCTATGTATCCCAAAGCTCATTGCGTCATTCATTTGGTCATATGAGCTCGCAACATTTTCAAACACCTTGTAAACTGGAGACAAAAGAATGATAGCAAATTTAACTAATTTATACTGAATATTTGTATTTTATATATTAATAATATCCCAACTATCCAAAAAAATATCTGGGATTCTCCTGAATACTGAATGAACCTATTGATCTCTCTGTCAGATTGCCAGAGCAAAGTAAATGTAACTTTTGAGCACTTTTTTTTTTAGACAAAAGGCGAAACCTTTAACACCAATATTTTGCAAAATCCCTGAAATTCAGTTTTTATATATCTATGTTGTGTGCTGGTGCTGATTTAAAGTGGACTGGGTATGAGTTATGGAACCTTTAGTAATACCTGTACACCAGGGTCGGGTTGTTCGAAGCTAGGTTAAGATAACCCAGGGTTAGTACAAAATTTGAACTCCGATATTAGAGCTTAAAAAGCAAATTCAGTTTAATTCCCTTTGCCAACAATTTGATGATTGGATACTCTAACAAGAATAGAGAAAACTATTTGATAACAAGAAAAAGAAAGCCAGGTTAAAATTTAACCCCGGTTTAGTGCTAACTGGTGTTCGAACAACTGGGCCCAGATTACATCCTCCATGGTTTCTGGCAGCATTTTTGAGCATCTTTTATACCTGCCAACCCACAAGCAGTATGCCTGTGTCACATGCCTGCAGGTTGAAAACTTCCATCACACCAAATAAGTTATCTTGCAAAGACATGAGCAATCTTGAGTATAAAGGCTCGATCTTGGCAAGATACCTTGACTCGATGATACTACCAAGATAATTGTGTGATCTCGCAAAGGTGGTCCCAAGATTTGATGCTTTGCACTTCTATATTTGGCAACCCTTGGAAATTATCAGAACAACTTTGGGATTCTTCACTATTGTTCGGAAGTCACTGGAATGTCTTTGGTATGATTTGGAAGTCACTTGGGGGTGTGTGTGGGGGGAGGGTACTCCCTGATATAAGCTATATAGGTATGTGCCCAAGGTGCAAAGAAAATCATTTTTACAGCTTGCCATTCGGGCAAGCTGAAGCTAGCACTTACTAGCCCAGATGTCATTTCAACTAGCCCCGAAAGCTTCTTGACAAGCAGAATAATATATTGATTTATCAGTTCTTCTGTTATTCAAATCCCTCAAAAAACATCACTTGCCCGTCGGGTAAGTTAAAAACAGGATTCACTACCCCCATAGAAAAATCCGCTAGCCCCGGGCTATCAGACACTACTTTCTTTGCACGCTGGTGCCACCCCAAAGGGTGGGGTTTTTGTGCCGTTTTGGTCTGAAAATGGGTATAGACTTTGCCCCTGTTTGTCTGGAATCAATTATGGTTTTCGAGGGAACTATAGGAGTGTATGAATGTATTTATTGTTTCTATTCCAAAACAGTAAGAAAGAAAGTGAAATATGTGAATTTGAAATGGATTTTAAGAATTCTTTTTTTGTTGGCGGTCTAATCTAAGTAACAATGACATAATTTCTCAGAGGCCAGGTCTGGAAACGGGTGTCAAAATGACATTTTTGAAATAGGGTCAGGATTTGGAGAACCGGACAGCACACCCCCACCAGAATTTCCAAGAGAGCCCCCCTTCCCCCTGGAAAAGTCATCTGATTTTGTCATAAAATTGGGTAACATGGATATGAAATTACATGGTGAAATATTAAAAGTTGGGAGGTACAATCTCTTACTGTTGAGTGTTGGAGCTGGGTTGCATCTGTGGGTGTGTCAAGGCTTTGGCGGTTTGGAGTAAGTTGAACTTGTGAGCAGGTGGTGGGAAATTTACAGATGTCGAGAGGTTGGCATTCCTGATATCACATGACTACAGTAGAACCTTGATAATGAAGGGTCTGGCCAATTTTTATTCGCTATAATAACGAGGTGTCGTCATATAGAGGTTCTTTTTCATATATTTTACTGCTACTGGGGTAAAGAAAATCGTTCGTTATACCTAGGACTTCGTTAAATACAGGTCATTGCCAGGGCATTGCTCGAGAGCTACCTCATCGGAATCGATTTTCTCCCTCGATAGCTTAATGGGATTATTTTAACGCTATTAGATCATAGTTCACCATATAACTCAAGGCCAAGACCAAAACAAGGCTCTATCCGTATTGAATTTATACAGCTTATGTTTAACTACCTTTCTCCGCCTTGTCTTGTTCTGATACCTTCTCAAAGCCAAAATGCGTACTGCTGTCGTCTAATTTGGAGTCCGAGAACATACGATATCTTAATCTGGATAACCAAGAACCACCACATAAGGAACAAATCCGATCTATGGCTAAAACAACAGTTTTTGGACATTTCACTGCCGAGGCCGCCATTTTGGATTTCGATTTTAATTCCCACAAGTCCAAGCGATCATCGTTTGTTTTTCCTCCAAGAACTTCGCATGCTTAGAGAAGATGTGACAATTACTTCAGTCATGAGTTTAATCTTATGTGGCCCAAAAGAACCATAATATCTTCTTTGGAATAACCGTTTAAGCTTGTTTTGAACCTATAAAGGTGTCTTCCAATAATTTAACAATGGCAGTGGTTATTAATCTATCAAACTCCTTAACAAACTTTTCCCGCGCGCCATTCGGGGCCATGCAAAGATAAAACAGGATGGTTATAAAAAAACACGGTAAGTATTTCCTGATTAGTTCTTGTGTGTTAATTTGCTCAAATTGGGTGGTAGATAGTTTTGATTAATACGTAAAATCTGGTATTTTCAGACTTCCAGAAAACAGCGGGGCTAATTCAGGAGTTTCTTTCCAAACTGTCCTGCGATGAATCGACGGCTGAACTGCGTGACGCCATGAATCTTGTTCTTTTTCACTTGCAAAGGTACTACAAGAAACTCCGCAAGCGAAGTCTTTCCAGCGGAACTTCGCCACGATTTCACGGAAAAACTCTAAGTGGAGGCCTTATTTTGAACGGTGGTGTAAGTCCGGTTTCTCCTGCTTGTGGTATACGAGATCAGTTTGAGTGGAAGTGGTATAACTTGGAATCACCGAGATTGTCAGCCAGTCTTGGGACAAATGAATATTCTTCTCTACCCCTTATCTTGCAAGCTGCGAAATCAGGGGATTACGAACTTTTGAAGGAACTCATAGATAAAGGTAAAAATAAATAAATGCTTGCGTGAGTGTCAAAAATTGGAGAGAAAACATGCATACATACACACTTCTTATTTGGGGATGATAAAAATAATCCATAAAGTTTTATTTGCCATAATAGCAGCTGGTTATTTGAGAACTTGACAGGTTAATTCAGAACTCTGTTCAGAACTTAAGCATGCAAATTACTTTTTCTCTGAATCATCAGGGAAATACTTGTGTAAATTCATTACAGTTAGGTTATAAAAATATAATCACCCTTCAGCTTCTTGCTGTCAGCCTCTGAAATCCAGCTCAAAAGATCATAGGTGAAAATCACTTATCATTTTTCTGATCCATGTCACTTTATACTAATAGATATTAGGGTCATTTATACGAGGAAAAATAAGACGTGTCTTTCATTAGATGCGTCCTAAAAAAGACGCAAACTATCCTGTATAAACAGCACATTAAGACGCTACTTAGCAAAAACGCATCTTATCAAAGAACAGAGGTTAGGGCCTATTCTTTGATGAGATGCATCTTACCTAAATTTCAAATGAAATGTGCCATTTATACAGGATAATTTGAGTCTTATTTAGGACGCATCCTATGCAAGATGTGTCTTATTTTTCCTTGTTTAAGTGACCCTAATGTTTATTATAATGAGCCCTGAGGTCTCCTGCAGGCCCATGCTTGGTCCTGTGAGGGCTCGGGGATGGAGGGGATCTAAACCTTTTTGTGGATTGTTGGATATAGGAGTGCCACTTGAGGTTAGCCAGAAAGTTGGGAAGAGAGCAAAAAATTAAAGAGGAATGAGGGGGAGGGAAAAAGGAAACACTCACCAGCCTTCTTGAGTGGTTTGTGTACTGACGAACGGACCAGATTCTATTCAGATTCGGATTGGATTCCATATACATCACCGTTTTGTTATCTTCCAGGGGAGAACTCGAAAAGACTGATGCAAGCTATCCATGAAAAATGGCAGAGCAAGCATTACCTGTGGCCTTGTTAACCATTGATATTATCAAATTTTGATGAGAACACTGGGAAATTGTTTTGAAACATGAGCAAAAGATGGCTATTAACAATATTCACCTCACATGAGAGATATGATGGCCATTTTGTTCAACTTACATGTTTTATTTCTCTTTTGCTGAATCACACTATGCCCATCTATTTTTTGCATACTATGAGTAAGCGATAACAAAGAGCAAATGACCACACATCATACATTTTAAAGGTGTAAAATCTCTGAAAATGTAATTATGTGTGTGGGTTTCCAAAGTTCTGCACCAGAAGCGATTGTGTTGCCTGCTACATGGCCCGTTGCCCTTTTTATTTTGATTAGATAATCAAACGCTGTCAACACGTTGTCAAATTGTGAATTGGGAGGTGGTTTTTATTTTTATTTGTGGCCTTGCTGCTCATTTGTGCATGCTTGGCACATGTCTTTCCAGCTTTGTTATTCATTAGTGCACTTACCCAGAAATACATGCAGCTACACAGACTAGTACAAACTTGGATAAACCTGAAAAATTTTTTGCAAAATAAATCCTTCTATGTAATCAGTTACCACCCTTTGCTCTCTTAGAAAGTCTGAATATAATATTATTAATACTATTTTTCCCTTTTTAAGGTTTCTAGCAAAATTTTAGGTTTTGAATACAAGACAGCACAGGTTACATCATACTAAACACTGAAAAACAGGGCTTGGATGACATAAGTGCAATGTTGGTTTCATTGCAGATCCAGCTGTCACTAAGCAAGTAGATGGTTTAGGGCGAAATGCTGCTATGTACTGTGTACATGGAAATACACCTGCTCACACAGATTGTCTTGAATTGCTTATTAATGCTGAATGTGATCTGGACCACCAAGCAAATGGTAGAGTATCCTGAAAATCTTTTCCCTTGAAGACCAAATTACACAACTTTTAATACATTTTAATCCACCCACTGCTAGTCTAATAATTGAAAAAAAGGCTGTAAAGAAAATCATTTCTTCTAATAGCATGTTGTAGATACCTAAATACACCTTGCAGAAGTAAAAATTTACTTCAGTGCCTTGTGGCCAGTATGGACAGTTGCCGTGAATTCTTGGGCTGGATTAAAGTGGCCCTTGATGTCTTGTTTCTCATTCCAAACCTGCTGTCCAAAAGATGCGACGTTGAAAATGGAGCAGTGCACAATGTAACCTGGGTGAATCTAATCATCTGATAGCACCAAAAATTAATGTGGCACCTTCAGTGTGTGGATTGATCTCATACTAATACTTGTAAACTGCTTGGAATTTTACTTGTTAGAACTAAAATTATAGCTTCACTTAATTATATAGTTGGAGAGAAAATGAAAAAAGGCAGTCCATTGAAATCACTACTTGTCTTTTTTTTTTTTAAATCCCATACTTCGCAATCCTGCATAGTGTAATTGCACGTTAGGTGATCAAACCTCAATCTTAAGTTGCCCTGGCCTGTTTAAAACATCACACTGGCAACTGTGTCTATATTTTGTAGCGTTAACATTCATGAAGTAGGCTATAATATTTAAGTTTGATGCATTGTTTGTACTGTAAATTATTATTAGAACAGAAAAACTGTGATAAGTTTTTATCAGTCGTGTATGTTTACACTTACTGGTGTACATGCATAGTTTTGCATAAGTCTTCCTTTTTGTATTTTTCTCTTGAACATCTTTGCAATGATTATTATCACCAGATAATACGACAGCCCTACATGTAGCAGCCTTCTGCAACAATACTGCAGCCTTGACTCTTCTACTCAGAAACAAGGTGACTGCAAAAACTAAAATGTTATTTTGTTATGTTCTATTAGAATTTTACACAGTGCTTTTGATCATTGAACTATTTTTGGCTTTTATTCTCATTAAAAAAAAGAAAACAATGTGTCCATTTGCAGATATTCAGCTGCACTTAGCAAATCAACTCTGTTTTAACCTTTTTTAAGATGCCTGGTTAAAAATTGTTCAGAGCTTATCCTGGTCCAAAGAGTTTTTTGTTTACTTTGTTAATCAACTTTATGATCAGCAGGACATAAGTGTGTTTAAGTTGGACACAACAATCGTCATGAAGAAAGCGAGTTTTGCAAATTTAGTGCTTTTTGTGCATGGTAGAACCTAAACTTTGTTGATTCTCATACATAAGCAAAGATGATTGATTGATTTATAACAATGACCTGCAGTATATAACCCTTCATGTTGGTTTAAAAAATCCTCCCTAGTTAAAAAAATCCATTGTTCTCATGTAATTTGCATAAGATGGTTAAGACTCAGTGAAGACCCAAAATACATAGCCACAGTTGCTTAGTTTTTAAAGTGATTTTTAATTAGTTAACTGGAAATAACTCGTATAAGTTTCCTAGCGTGGCTGCAGCCACTGTAACTGTAATTTGGTGGTAATTTTTTTGGATATTTATAAATGAACAAACCTTTCATACCTAGGCCATATTATGGTAAGGTTATTTGACACTAACTTTTAAATCTGTGGATGAAATCCTTCGGTGTTCCCATTCAAATGAAACCTCTTTAGCAGAACTTTTGTATGATACTCCTTAATTCTCTGACCTTAAAACAAATAAGTTTGGCCATTTTTATGAGCAAAAGGGTCAAATAATATAGTTTTGTACATACTGTGGCCAAAAAGGCAGTCAAAACCTGGTCAAATTGTATTGTTGCCTCTCACTGCTCACTGCTTTATTATCTGCACTCTCCTTAAACTATTTGATGGGTGCTTTTCAGTAAAATACATGGAAAGTGAACCCATTGCATCCCATGTTACCCAGGTTAAAGTGTCCTCCCTTAGATTAAGATGAACCGCAAGTCAATTACATAAGATAAACAGTGAGTGTTTTAAAAAATAGTTTGTTTTTCAATAGGCTTAGTTTTACTAATTAAATTTATTAACATATCTAACTTTACTGTAAGTGCCTTAAACATTATTACAAAGTAGTTATGTAACATTTCATGTGTATGGTATCAAATGGATAAAAAATAATAATAATAATAATAACATTATTGTTATTATTACTAACATTAGTTAATCATGTGTTTATTGATTATAGGTAGGTGTTTTTTAGGACCCTAATTTGGAAAAAAAAGTGAACAATTTTTTTCTTTTATTTAAGGCTTCTCACCACATTGAAGACAATCAGGGCAGGACACCTCTTCACTGGGCAGCAGCGAGTCCCTCCATGGATAACCTCAAGGTTATATATGCACCGCAGATCTTCCTTATATGACTGCAGCCTTCTAGCATTGATTTCTTACTTCTACTTTTTGTTCTAAAAAACATAATCATAGGGATCTTAAAGTCTCTCACCTATAAAATCTACATGGCCCCAGGGTTGCTCTGCCTTTCTTTGCCCTTTAGTCAAATGTACCATTTTTGAAAGAAAAGTTACCTCTTACCTTCCTTTGAAAAGTGGTATCTTAAAGAAAGTTTGTCCCTAACCCTTGGAATGATATTATGGGAGAACATCATTACGATAGGGGAAGTTAACTATGAAATATAATAATTATTAATTATTCAGTTCGTTTTGTTCCGTACCCTTTCATATACTTTAACTCTTGAAATCCCTTTCCTTTTATATTATCTGAATCTAGAAAAAGGTCCATCTTCTTGGCAGAGCCTCCTTGGGACATAGGCCTATTAAATATATATGAGTTTGCTACAAAGCCAATTATTTCCTTGTTACCAAAGACAAAAAGTAAGCTGCCAGAGGGCTGCTGAGCACTGCTAGCTAAAGCACCGCCCTGCACTTACCAAATAATATTGTTTTACGGACAGATGTTACTTCAGTTTGGTGGCAGTCTTCATGCAGTTGACAGTGAGGGTTTGACACCAGCTATGTGGGCATGTTACTTTGACCAACTTCATAATCTCCAAGTCCTACATGATGCACTGTGCAGACTTGACCCACAGGAAGATGCCATCTTCAAAGACACTGATTGTTATGGACAATCTGTGATACACTGGTCTGTCAAGGGAGCAGGCTCCCTGGAATGCCTTGAGGTATTTGATAAAGAAATGATGAGAGATGAGATGGTCTTTGCCTGGCATGTTTTTAAAAATGTTATAAGGATGTGGTAGAAACCCAGTTAAGCAGACCCACAGAAAGCATAGGCTCTGTACTCAAGGGACAGAACAGACATAAAGCATGTGTGCAGAGCGCTTGTGCTTAATAGCGTTTACACTTCTCTAAAAAAAAAAAAAGTTCAAAGAAAGTTGGCCACCAGTGGTCTTTATACTGTACCACATCTGAAATTTTGTGATTTTTAACTGAACGGACACAGCATGTTAGTTAACAATAATGAATGAGTCTGAGTATCTTATGAAGAATTATGGAGATCGAGGAGAGTGTTATCTGTCGAGGCTGAGGCGGATAACACCCTCCAAGATCTCCCTAATTCTTCATATGGTATGAAAGCCGAATTCAATAATTGCTTTATTATTCATTCAAAATAATTCCTAGTTTAAAGACATAGCTAAAACATGCTTACCTCCAGCGATGGAGCAGATGTCACCCTTTGAGTTGTCTTTTTGCTGTTCTTGCCATGTTTTTAGCTATTATTTCGCCTGGATCTTACTCTTGAATCAAGCAAAATGTCCGCCATTTTTGTTTTCACGACCAAAGCAACTCAACCTTGTCCCCAGGTCTTCTCGGTTAACAGTGCATTAACCTGCAAGGAAGCTGCACTTTTGACGTCATCGGTTGATTAATTGGAAAATTCTTCCAAATTTATTCATCAGTAGCTGGTTTTAGTGAATTATGCATGTGCTTTTAGCCAATCAGAATCGTAGAAATATTTTGAATGAATAATAATAGTTAAGTAGTTTAATACAATAACAGTCCGATTATTATACCAAAGACTCTTTACTTCATTTTATCAAGGTTCCACTGCTTAAATAATTTTGTGGAATCTTCCGCTTAGAGTTCTAGGGCTGAATTTGTAAGTTAAGATATCTCCTACGTATTGTTTCTCAACTATCGCCAATTGTTTTGAGAGAGCAGTTGAGACACATCTTAGCACAAGATGGCTTCATGAATCTAGCCCCAGGGCTAAAAGCAGATCATACGAATATTTCCACTTTTCGGATTTCATATAACGTCCTTCTGAAAATTTGTGTCAACAGTTTAATTGTGTTTTTGAAGTACAGTTTATTAGCGTAGACAGGTTAAGAGGCCAAACATTTTTGCACTACTGCCTGTCAACTTCACAATCCTTACAAGTTATCTTCCACTTTCCCTACTTTCAATTTTGTTTCCAAGGTCTTACTGTCACCCAGTTCTGCAGTTCTAAGAGATAATGATGGAAAATCAGTACTCCACACAACTGCGGAAAAAGGTACTATAATTTAATAAATTATTCCTTCTTTTTGTCAACTGCAATTATGGAACATGTGATGTCACTGTTTTTGGATCTGTACATAACACAAAAACTTAAACACGTTTGTTTATTTTACCTATTTCTTGAATCGACTGAAAATAATTGAAAAAATCTTCAGAAACAATGAAGACAGGAAAAGTCTGCATTGTGACAATTAGTTTGTATCATTCTGTCTGGACAAGCACTTTAGTTGTTGATTGAACTGAGTGGAGTGCTATTTGGTCTGAAATGATGTGGGTAATTTCAAAACAGTTTATAAGAATCCCTTTTTAACAGCACTGAGATTATGTTTTGTAACCTTTCTTCACTTTTATTCTATTTTTTCTTATAATCTTCAACTATATAGGGAATACAGCTGCATGTGAGTTGATTCTTGAAGTAAGAGGAAGCATTGAAGGCCTTCAGGACACTGATAACATGAAAAGAACTCCAGCTCATCTGGCTGCAATTTGTGGCCAAGGAGAAGTAGTCAATTTTCTTCTTGAAAGGGGAGGTTAGTACCACTCTAGGAGCAGATGAAAGGAGGCTTTGCGTGAATTGCATAAAGCCTTTCAAGTTGGGGAAGCCCAAATTTCTGGACTATTCCCTCCTGGAACTGGCTTTCTGGGTGCAAGCATCCATTTATTTATAAATTGAAGGTCGTAACCTAAATCCACTGTACCAATTACATGGCTATTAGGCCTGGTTCAAATGCGTATCGCAGCAACAAGCAGCACATGGTCAACAAAGATCTTACCTGATTTATGCAGAGTTTTTCCCGAGTATGCCAAATAGAGCAAGTTAAAGAAAGGCTCTACTTGCAGAGTTGGTTGATACAGGCACATTGTGTCTGTGTAATGAAATAGAATGGTAGTTTAAAAAGTTCCCAGGTTGTCTTCTTAATGCAGTTTTATGTACATTTTGTTGCTTAATTTTCTAGTGTTGACAATGGCTAACAAAATCTAACTACTTCATTTCTCATATTAATTAGCGAAGTGATGATTTTCTTATTATTAATAATTGTGAATCAAAAAACATATAACGCCTTATGACAATTTAAAAACTCCTTTGATCTTTATTACCATAATACTTCTATTATTGTTATTACTATTCTTTTTATTTTACATGTGTATCACAGCTGATCTCCTGCTGAAGGATAAACTTGGTGCTACTGCTGTGGATTATATTTACAACAAGCAGCTTACCTACTGTGGGATGATTCTCAGAGCTCATTTGAGGAGCAATGATCAACAGATAACACCCACCAATACACAAAGGTAGACTAGAGGAGAGAGAGGGATATTTATCAATAATTATTATTATTGAATGAGGATGAGTATGATATGAAGAATTATGTGGATCAAGGACGAGTGTTATCCACCAAGGCTGCAAATTGTAAAGGATAATACCCTCTGAGATCTGTGTCACACAATTCATATCATGCAAAAGCTGAACATGAAGCTGAAAATGAGTCTTGATTAATAAATATTTCCAGGGTCTTACCAAACCTTACCTTGATGTAGAAATTCTTCAAAACATTTGCCTGTTCTCCAGAAGTTTTAGCATGTGAGTGAACTGTTTTCTGGCAGATATTTTCAAAAGCAGTTGACGTCCATTGAGTGGTGTTTTTGAAGTTTCCTTTCTTTACGTCTCAATTTATGTATTCTATTTTAACTGAATTTACAATGGCCTATTTTAAATGTATGAGTTCATGATTCCTGTAAATGCACAATCATCGTGCTTGAAATAGTTCTACAAAAAAAATTAAGTACAACTCCCTTTTTTCTACAGCCAGAATAATCATGCTTCATCAAGGCCGCAACCTTCTGCTCCCTCTCCTGAAACTGTTCAACAACAACTTGATACCACCATCATGCAAGACAAGAAAGACCACCGAGGATCTCTCTGTGATCAGAACAATGATGTGTCAGAGCTTCATGGCTTTGAAGTTCAAGGTGATTCAATTGACATAGAAAATGAGGAAAATCACCTAAAAGCAAAACATGAGGTTAAAGTTGATGGCAGTTCTACGAACAATAGAGGTCATAATAAAAAACCTCAGCAAAAGAACAAGCACCAAAATACACTAACAAGACAAAGTGGTTTTCATAATGATAGTGATCCTAAAGAACCACTGGAAGCTCCAAGCTTTGATCTGAGGACTGAGGAAGGTGACATACTTGTTGTTGTGAGTAATCTGGATGTTGAAGATGGTGAACAGGAGCAGATAATTAATATTGAGGAAGGGGACCTTGATATGGATGGTGAAGACAATTTTGAATACTCAAGCGCTCGTTTGCAACAGGGACGTGGCAGTGCCTCAAGTGTGCACAGTGAGCCCGATAATGCAGATAACTGCAGTGTCAGTGTTGGACTGAGTGTGTCAAGTCTTGGAAGTGATAATGAAGATGAACTTCAGGATGACGATTTGGAAGAGCCTGCTGAGGAGGACAAGAACCAAGGGCAAAGAAAAGGAAAAAGTATTGATTCACAGCGTCAGGTAATGAGGGCAAATGTGTGTATTTTTTTAATATTACTATTCATTTACTGTGGAGAAATCAGTTAACTGAAAACCTGTTGAAACTGGATCTCAGAGGGTATTTAACACTTCTGTTGTAACCATAGTGTGCAAGTTTTCCTAAGGTGCTTCTTTAGATTTATCACAAAACACAGTATTAATAAAACTGTTTCTTTTAAAGAGTTGGTATTTATAACATTTTTACAATTGCTTGTCTTTTATTTTCAGTCAATTCCAGAACCTAGTCTACCATCACAACAGGTCCCCTCTACGGAAGTCAAATCCCCACCTCTGAAACCTCCACAAAAATTAGCACAGTTACATTCTCTTCCCCTCGAGAAAAGCTCTGCCTTTGTAGATGATAATTACACAGAAGAACTTGAAGAAGAGCAACTAGCAATGGCTTCAAAAAAGAAGAAAGATAAAAGTAAAAAGAAAAAACAAAAGGGGCCATCAACATCAGAACTGGCTACCCCTCTCCCACCTCCAAGGGGAATGGTTCCTCTTAGCAGTTTGGGCCCTCCTGGGGCTCCTAAACTTGGTGCCTTGGATCCACGTGGTTTAAAGCCAGCTCCTTGGGAGCATGGCCCTCTTGGACCTCTAAGGCAGGTACCTCCTGAGCCAGCACCTCCTACAAGCCCACGATTTGGAAGAAAAGGTTATCCATATCCTGGAGAAGGTTTTGATCATAATGAAAATCTATTTGAAAGGCCTCGGAGCCCTGAACCACCTCGCAGTCCTCGTGACATGGGAGGACATCATTTACACCCATCTCCTCCTGATGCTTCCTTTAGAGGTCCCATAGAAGGCGGTGTTCATGAAAGGGACATGGCCCATGGCTCCATGTCTCAAGCTCCTCTTAAAAGTATGGTGAGTGAACAAGTGATAGCTTTGCATGCAGTATTCAGTAATCTAGCTCTCTCCTTTATAAGCAGTTTGGAGGAAGGAGTGATCACCAAATATCCTCTTATTATTATAATTTCTCCATCACTCAGGTGAATCATGAGAGTCATGTTGGGGAAGAACTAAAAAAGACATAGACTTATGCCTCTTTTTTTGTAGAGAATGGAGTCCCTGATAAATGGGAAATGTGTCCTTGAAAGTCCTTGAAAAGTCCTTGGATTTTTTGTTCAAAAAAGGGTACGAACCCTGTACTTCTCTACTAAGAGAGACTGGAATGAACTGAATTTTTAAAAGATAGCAAACCTCAAATCTATCGTTTGTGTTTTAACCCTAATTTAACTCTTATATGCAATGAAGTGTTAAGGAGAAGTTGATTATATCCCACTGTCATTAAGTCACATGTATGTGCATGTATTTGTGCCAGTTTAGCCTGCTACTGCTAAGTTTACTGAAAAAATCAGTGATTGCAGCGGTTATAAGGAATCACTTCTTAATTTATCACACCAGTCATAGTGGCTGCTGAAGAGGCAAGCTTACTGTTCTATTGTAAGGCTGGGTGCCATATAATTACCATGATGGCTTTGAATACTTACATAGCTGAACTTTGCAGCAGTAAATTACACATAAGTACAAGAAACTATGATTTGATAGTAAGCTTGATTTCTAATGTTCCAATTATACATTTCTAGGGAACAATGGGTAGGAGTGCCAAAATGGGTGGAGTCATACCCCATGGACCACCAGGACCACGACTCCCTGGACATGCACCAATTCCTCATCCACCACAACATTAATACATCATTTGAAGAGCTGACACTATAAATCTACCGTGCATTGAATGTTAATATTTTTCACTGATAAGTTCCTTTTTCTCAGGTGGTAATTTATCTTTTTTAAGTTATTTGGTATTCAGATAAGTTTAGATAAAAGAAAAGTAATGGGGCTGAAAAATACAGTATGAAAAAAATTAATTCAGGACAAAATTTGAACAATAAGCAAACAACTTGGGACATAAAAACCTTTTTGGTCCAATTTAAGTATAATTTTCAGTTGACCCTTTTCGGCCATTTATTAACTAAGGGAACATTTGGCTAAATATCGAAACAAATCTGCATTTGTCAATGGAAGTTCCAACAATTTGCCGTGGGGTAGTTAGGGAAGCCCCTGCAGCATTTTGCCGCAGAGTAGTGAGGGTGTTCAGCTTCTTTGTGTTAACTTCCTTCAAATGGTGAATGTGAACCAGTATTGATCACTATTATTACAATGCACTATTATTACAATTAATGCACCCAAACTTCTCACTAAATTTAGATGAATACTGTGTAGCCTAGATGCTATGTACATAATGGCTGAGTAGCAATAATATCTTTATTCCCCCAGATATTTTATTTATTATCAGGAGACCATTGGAAACTTGTAAACCTGGCCTTGGGAGGAAGAGGAAGGGTGTTCTAGCAACACTGGTTATCTTTTGGGCTATTTATTTTGAAGGTGGGATGGGGAACATAAACATTGGTTGGACTGTGTCAGCCGTATGGGAGGGGTGGGGTAATTACAATAATTATTTATTACTTAGATAAATATTTATTCTGAATTTTCAATTTTCCATAGAAACAAAAATACATAAGAACATAATTTCCTGTCTGATCAAGAAGGGATCAATGCGTTAAACAGAGACTTTGCACTTGTCTTTAAATAGCAGCACCATTGTAGGAATGGTTCCTGATACTGTTACCTTCTTGGTTATCCTGTGCTTTAACTTAGTTAGGGGCGTACAACATTACTTAGTTACAGCAATTATCAAGAGTTCCTTTGTATTCCAGGGTATTCTATCAAAAAAATATTTTGGAGCAGAAAATGCCCACAAGGGCTTTATAAGGGCGTAGGTAGTGACAGTGCTTCAAGATGCGAACGTTTTACTCGCAGCAAACAAATTTGTAGCGAAAATTGCCATTTGTGGATCTGTGTTTGGGGGTAATGCAGCCAAGCTGTAGTGTTTTGAATAGTTTATGTTTATGATTTTCTTAAGTTAAAGGTGGATAAATATTTGCGTAAAGTATTATTTAAGTACTGTTTAAAAACGAGCAGGAGTGTATACTCAGGGGAAACCAAGAGTTTTTACATCTGATAATACACTTCTGCGAGTTTTTGAACGGCTTCAAAATCTCTGATATAGATCAACTCATTTTTCCACTAGTATTTAGTTTTGGGGTTATTTCGGTGTAAAACATTGGACGTAAATTTTAGCCGTGTCTTTATCAGATATATGGACAGTCATTGAACATTATTTTCGTTTGTTTTTTCTTTATGAATTATTAATAAGTTTTTGAAGCTCTATTTTCTTCATAATTCGCCTCTTACACCCTCTTTGACCCTGTCGAAGAGATAATGTTTATGACACGTTCTCTGTCAGATTTTGTTGAGTACATACTTAAAGGTATTAAGTGCTTTTTTTCGGAGAATCGAGGAGGAAAAGTTTCGTGAACACACATATGTGGTAACCTTGCCTTTTATAAAAATATATTGACCAAAAGTCTCTCCTGACTTCAGGAGCACCTCTTCTGATATATAGTTATGCTTATGCCTTCCCCAATCCCCATGTCTGTTAGTCAACCAGTCAGTAGCTATTGTTTAAATGGTCACATTACAATAATGTCTTGGGACATAAAAACTACCCTTTACTGCTTCAAAAAATCATTACTACTTTAATAGTAGCTATCTTTTGAATAGTTCCTTTATAGGTGCATTAATTATTATTAGGAGCATAATGAGGGTCACTTTAAACAGGTGATGTGCCCATTGGTTTGGTTAGGTGCCACGACCTTGTCAGCGGATATTGAAGCGTAAAAGGTGCCTATATTTTTAGGTTGCTTGTGGGAATTAAACACGGTAGATTAAAAAGGCTTGTCGTAGTGCAAACCGTAGAGAGATGTGAGATGGAAATAAGTTGCCCCTTGGTAGCAACTGCGAATTTATTGCATCCTTGTGATGTTCGCATGTCTGTAAAACAAATGTTCTCTGTAACTGAACGAAAACCTGCTGTTACGTCTTTAAAAGTAGATTATAAACCACGCACTATAGATATTTGTTACTTGTATATGTATTTAAAGTCTATTCGCTATTTATTGTCAATGACCAGTACCTGGGGCTTGTATGTATTAGTTTTTGTCCATAGTCATGTCTGTAACGAATAAGTCTTCACTGTAACAACATTATTGGTGAAATTCTTGATAATAATTATCATTTTTAATAATGATAGTAGTCAAAATCATTATTAAAGAAAATTCTTGCGTCAAAACTTAGGCCAGATTAGATTTGGTTGTTTACATTCCCATTCTCTACAGCCTTGAATTCTAAGTAGCGAACATTACTAAACCCTTAAAAAAGGTATTATGTACTGTTTAGTCATAAATTAAGTACCGTAAAATTCCGAAAATAAGCCCCTCCAAATATAAGCCCCCCAACCCGGTAACGCAGAAAACCCTCCGATAAATCCTCCCTCCTAATTGGAAAATTGCTCTCAAACACAAAGTAAAAAAAGCAAAAACGGTAAATTTACTTCCAACTATAAGGCTAGCCCAATGATTTTGAAACGCAAATTTCCCTCCGTAGATAAGTCCCTCCGAATATAAGCCCCTCCAAAAATAAGCCCTCAAAAAGGGTCTTTGAAAAATATAAGCCCCGGGGCTTATTTTCGGAATTTTACGGTATGCTAAAACAGGTGTCCCCTCAGATAGGCAGCCTTTCAAACTTTCCAAGTCGTTATAATACAGGGGGATCCAGGGTACTTAATATTTACATGGTAAAACCGGAAATTCCGGTTGGAAAATCAAATGGTTCGTGCCATTCCGTTTGTGAAGCTTCAGAAAATATGGGCTGTGATTTGAGGCGGAGCAATTTTGCTTCTCTTTTTAGTTTGTTCAGTTGGTTTGCATATACTTCGCCCACCACTTCAATATCTTTAGTTTTATGTTTCTGCACATGATTTCCACCCGGGAGGTTTTTGTAAATGTTGAGCACCCCAGACCTCCTGTCTCCTGTACCTCACATTCCCGGCTCCCGCCTCTTTTTCATTGGCTTCCTCCCTTTAGTAGCCTGCATACAGCCGTCCCCAGCTCCCCTTAGGGAGGGCTTGCCAGAAATTTGTTATCTATCTTTATCGATATCTTTCAGTTACGACAGTTATAATATCCACGTCCTAAACGAATGTGGACTGTTGCGTGGGGTCAAAATCAAAATTAAGGAAGGATGTTGCACGATTAATAATGGTAATATGACTGAGTGGAGTCCAATTCGGTCTGTTGTCCGATTTGCTTAATGACGAGTATGAGTACAGACCGAATTGGACGACAGAAAGTCTAACTATAACCATATTTGTGATATTTTAGGCCTTTTTTAAAAATTAAAACATTGTTATTGTTATGATTATAGACAGCAAATAAAAAGTATCCATAATTGCTGTTCAGAAAGTTGGTAAACACAACGTGTTTATGCAGCTCTTTAACTCTTCAAAATTGAGCTGAAGAACCCGGAAAAGCACTTGTAAAGGGATGCTTGAACGGTTACTGTTCAAAATGCTTGTTGTTTCTTGGATGGTTTGTTGCATTTTCGGTTTCCTTTGATCACCTGAAACACTGTTAATCAATCTTAAGTGGTTGGTAAACATTACGCTATGAAAAACCCCTGTTATGAGTTGAGTACCCTCTACTTTGTGATAACTTTTTTTCAGGACCTCTCTACGCATTCTTTCTCAAGACAAATATTACCAGAGGAGAAAAGATAAATACAGTCCCTTTGAATTCCTTGGAGTCTTCATCTAGGCTTCCCAATCTATATTTATTTATAAATTAAAATTGCGTCACTAGGTTTCATTCCTTATCTTTGTTTGATTAGGCAGTGATATTGCTCTTCTCTTGTAAGACTAGGCCCACGGGGTACTCCCTCTGAAGGCCTATACGGGGAGGCTCCGCCCGAAATGCCTTGCTCAGGCCTCGGGTATATGAAAGGGTAGGATCTCACTAGTTGAACTATATAAGAAGGTAGAGGAATCTGTTATTGCGCTCAGTGAAAGGACCTAAAAGAATTAACAGGCGCGTTTAATAGCTGTGAAAATGACAAGAAAACTTTCTGGTTTATTGATTTATTCATATTTAAAAGACGGCTCATTACAGCAGTTTAAAGAGAAACAGCGTTCTAAACAAGAATGTTAAAGGGCTGCGATTTGTCAGCAAATGGGGTATGTGAAAGGGTAAGGTGTTGGACCTCGGGGCGGAGCCTCCTTTTTAAAAAGTTTGTTCAGTATCCCCCCATCCAGGCCAGGCAACAATTACTCTTCACAAGAGATGTCTCGTTCACGTTTGAACAACGCCCTAAAAACTAGCTAACTGTGACCATCGCGAAAATGGAGTTTCGAGAAAGAAGGCAACGTCGCGTGTAGGAAAATATCGGGTTATATGGGAGTGCCCTTATTCGACCTTATGCTACATGGAACAACTTATTGCAAGAACTTTCCCCTTCACTATAGCTTTAACTAGTGATTGAATCCATTTGAAAACACATTTAACAGCATTAAAAAAACAAGAAAGAAAGAAACCGACGTTAATGCTTACAAAATAACACAAATCATGACAAATCACCTTTCCTTCGTTAGCGGCTATTGTGTTTACGGTTGATCAGTGGAATATATACTTTCCGCTTTGCTTTAACTGTTGGTAAACATCGCGTGATTAAAGCCGCCTAACTAAGTCCTTTTAGATTATTCCGCCTTACTTGTGCGAGCAGACTGAAGCTTCATTGAAGATCTGTATTGTTATTTTATCGTATCCTAGTCTACTGTGCAGGTCATACTTTTTGTTGCTATTCCTTGGAAACGCCTTTTTATAGTGAGAAACCTCTTCAGTTCAAGAAGCCATCATGACTTCAATCACCACAGCCCTGATCAAGGCCACTGTTGGATTACCCTTGAACCAAAGCAAAGGCCGAAAAGTTTCAACCGAGCAAATTTAAGATGGCGATATAACAGATCCAAAATTTCTTGAAATGATAGTGCGTGAGATCGACACAATGGTACGGCAAATGAGACGACAAGATCTTTCGATGAGTATGAACTGCTTCAGGGAAGGGGTTGTCCACTTTTTCCAGCTTTTTTACACAGCAAAAACTGGAGAAAATAGTTCAGCAACCTCGCTAGCAGAGGGAATGGAGAGACTGAAACTAACTGACCTGGGTGACGCAAATAAAGAAGCGCTTTCAAATGCTAAAGAAGCATTCAACATGACTTGTGCAAAAGCAACGGAAGCTTTAAGCAGTGAACATGTTTGGCCTGTTCGCATTGAGGCAATGGTTCGTTCGCGTTGCGGCAACAATTCTGCAGCGAGTAGACAACCTTGAGGCCGCATTAACACCCTGCAAGCTGTGCTTGGAAGAGTTCCATTGTATTCCCTACGTGAAGGAAAAATTTGAAGTAATCTGCGACAACCACAAGGCTGGGCAGAGAATGAGTGGCGGTTTGGAAATCATCTCCACTGTTCATCAAGTGAATCATCTCATTTATGATGTCACACAAACAGTCGGAAAAGACGCTCACATTTGGATCTGGCCTTCTGTGGCTGTTACTCAGTGGCTACCCGGTGTTCTTCCAATTTACGGAGATAACAAGGTCGGCCCTTTGAGATATGTCAGAGTGACGAAACCACTGCAAGATCTGGGCGTGCAGGACTGTTCTGTGACACTATGGTCCTTTGGACAGGAAGGTGACGAAGATCACAAACTGCTAGGACCGCATAGTATATGTACAAACAGAAAGGGCCATTTCATTGTATCAGACTACAGAGCAAATGAAATAAAGGTGTTTGACAAGGGCGGCAAGTTTCTTAAAAAATTCCGCACCCCTTCACCAACTCATATTTGTGATGTAGTCACTGACCGAAATGGCAACATATACACACTTTCATATCTGTTGAAACGAGAGGCAAACGAAATGGAATACACAACGGAGCTAACTTTAACCGTCTACGATAAGGAAACGCACTTACAGCGAACCTCCTCTCACCTTCTGGTAAAGAAGAACTGGTGCGGTTTCAATGAACTGCACTCTTATCTGGCAGTTAGTGACAGCAGCAAAGTGTTTCTTCTTAATGGAATACGAGGGGAGAAGACTCGAGGAGGATATCGCGTGAATTATTTGGTCGATGTGTACAGCACTGATGGACAGTTTGTTTGTAGTTTTGGTGAAGAGAAAATCAAGTCTGCTTCAGCCATCGTGACTGATAATGATGCTCGTGTCATGATCCTTGAAATGAGCTCCGTACGCGTTTTTAGTGAACAGGGAGACCAAATTTTCGGGTTTTCAATTTGTGGGCCAGGCCCAAGCGAGGAATCTAAGATTGCGTTCCACAGAGAGAGCGAATACGTCGTCGTCGTTCAAAAAGATCGCAGCAAAGACATCCTTCGCGTACAAATCTACGCAAAAAATGGCAAGTTCGTGCGGGAAATTTACCTAAGAGGGGAGAAAATTCACTGGGTACGGGGAATGACAGTGACAGACGATGGACACGTTGCTATAAGTTACGGGGATCTAAGGTCCCCTTACAGCAAGGTTACTGTAGTATGAAAATGCTGCAGTTGCAGTGAAAAAGGTGGCCTACGAGCAAGCTCTCCATTTGGGGGAGTTACAAGCCAGTGAGTCACGCGAGAGGCGCACGTGAAAGGAGACGCGCGACCTCGCGAGTTGTCTCGCGGTGTTTTGAGACCAGGCTTCCCCCTTATCTCAGGGGGTCTGGATGACACTCCCCGCGCCCCCCCCCCCCCCTTCGCCTCCTTATCTGAAGGTCTGGATCCGCCACTGAAGTTGAATTTTTAACCGTTGGGTAAAGAAGAATAGCAAGATGACATGTACAATTGGTTTGTAAAAAAAGGAAGTTATATGTTTTCATTCTGATTGCAATTTTGCTTAAGAAGTGTGCCAGTCATAGCTTTTTACATACAAGAACCTAAACCTTAAGTCACTGGAAATACTGGTTCTTCTGTAGTTACCTTGAAATTTGTTTTTGGGCATTTATTTCATATCATAACAGAAGCATACGATAAGATTATCGCCTCATCAGCTCGTAAAACTGACTGTTATTAGTTTTTTCATGAGATGCAAATTGTCAAATAAAAGCTGGAAATTTGCGAACCAGCTTATCAACTTTAATCAATCTATCATAGTTCTTACAAAGCGCATACAGTATAAAATACGGTTCAGAGTGCCTAAGCCAGAGGCTTATATGGCATAAAGTTCAAGGTCAAGAACAAGCCAAAATGTGCTATCACAATTCTACTAGTCATTTGTTTACAAATTAGTAATGATATATAAATATTAATAAGCTAAATAAGCAACCATAACATATTAATTAAGCAACTTGTTGTAGATTTCGGAAGGACTCGAGCTTTGGGATGTTCTGTTTTCGATGGTTTTCTACTTCGGCTTTATTATATTTAAATAAGATAGAGATTTGTTGCCGTTTACGTAACGAATAAAAGTCATTTAAGCTTCCTCAACTTTACCCCTTAACTTTACTATGTACTTTGAAGAGACTCTTGTTTATCTAAAGAGATGCTTTGAAGAGAGTCTGATATGTCTAACAGATACTTTGGACTGAAAATTAAAAGAAAATTGCAAAAAAAAAAAAAGAGAGAGAGAGAAGATACTGGACCAAGTTGTTCAAAGCTGGATTAAGATAACCCAGGGTTAGTGCGATATTTAAATTCAGATTTGAAAGTTTAATAAGCATTTCAGTTTTAATTCTTTTTGTCTACAAGTTGATGATTGGAAGCTCTAAAAATAACAGATAAAATTCTCCGAGAAAATGCTTTTGGGCACAAGAAAAAGAAACCAGGGTTAAAATTAACCCCGGGTTAAGCGCTAATCGACCTTCGAACAACTGAGCCCTGGATGCTAGTAATGCTTGAAAGACGAAAATAGCTTGATTTGTTGCCATTAAAAAGAAGCCACATTTTAAAGGAAATAAAAACTTACAGTTAAACTGGATGTTGCAAAAGCAGCAAGACTAATTAAACGCATAAGTCTCTTGAGATTCCTTCGATCTGTTCATACTTATATCCTGCATTTCGTTTTCTTTTGTCAGTCGTTATCATGGCTTCTCAATGCCGTGAAAACGTTATATGACGGCCACTCTCGAGACATAGGATGGTTGCAACACTCACTGGGCGTGGTCAGTTACTAGCGGATTGTACAACGACGCAGGGCGAAGCACCTTAAAAATGGTCAGAACAGACAAAATACGAAAAATAACAGCAAAGAAATATTAAACAGAAGGGAAATAAGCACAAGAAAAAGTTCAAACGCCTGTGCATCCATGCTTTGACTGCTGTCAAACTGTTTTTCAGAAGAAAGCTATAATAATTGTCTTGCGCCGACTTTGCCACACGTACACAAACGGGGGTCTTATCTGCTGCATGCAGAACGTGGTCCTATGACCAAGACAGATAATTACCTTACCATACTGTTGAGAAACCCAAATTAAATTAGCCCATGCACGTGCTGGGGTGGATTTGGAAAACTGTGCGTACCCCTGGAGATAGCCTGAGTATCAGGCGTTTCTGGGAGGAAAGGGGAAAGATGGAAGCGAAAAAGGGAGAGAGCCCATCTAAAATCTCCTCTCCCCTAGCCCCTTTGGAAGGCCTGATACTCAGGCTACCCTGGAGAAGTCCTGGCTACGCCCCTAGACGTTCACGTATCTAACACCATCGTAGATGATCTTTTCCCGAGCCGTCTGGACTGACCGGAACTTGTCTACACTTTGGAGAAACAGGAGTTGCTAACTTGTAACAGCTGTAAGGGACAGTAGTAAAGAATACTTCACAGTTCTCAAAGCATATTAGTGGTAATCATTTACCTTTTTCTGCCTGTTTGAATCATCAGGTAGACTAATTCCCCTCTCCTGAACTATATGGGGAATGGATACAAGCTTTCGGTGCAACGATTCCCGGGATCGTTTGGTGGACAAGCGTTCGTTATGATTGGTTGATGTTATCCAAGGCAACCATTAACCGTATTAAAAAGTAACGCATGTCCACCCAAACGATTCCAGAAATCGTTGCACCGAAAACTTGTACCCATTCCCCTTCTAGTGTCTAGCCTGCGTGGCAGGCGCAAAAAGGGGAGGGGGAGGGGGGAGGGAAAAAGGGAAAAGGGAAGGGAGCGCCTGCTCTAAGAGCCTATGTTTTTGCATAACGCCTACCAATTTTCTAGTAATCCGATTACGCTTACTGTCAATCAAGTGTCGCTACACTCGCCATTGCAGAAAACATTACACTCACGGACTAAAGAAATTCGCTTAGTTATTCAGATCCAGAAGGCACTTTGGAGAAAACTGGAACCCTTATTCAGCCGTAATAAAAAAAGCTTTACGCTTCAAAAGAGGTCAAAGAAATTGCGCTTGCATCAGAGGGCAAATCCCGCCGACCAGAAAACAATAACTACAGTCAATCGATATGTATGTCATGACCTCTCAGTGTGAAACATGCGGCTAAAATAACATTTTCTCAGTATAAATGCAGAACCTTCCAGAACATAATCTACCCAGCAGATAAAAACAACTTTATTGGAATAAGCAGCACTTTGGCATGAGGTAAAACCACCCTCTTTTATTCCTAAGTTACATCGGCGAATGTCATCGTTCGATAAATTGGCTAAATCTTTCCCTGGGTAGCCCAACAATTCCATCTCCTGCAACTGGTCTTCGATAATACTCTTCAGTGGCGAAATGACGAGAATCGCCGCACTACCATTTAGCTCGTAGTTCTTCGCGCATACAAACATTTGGTAAATTAAACTCTTGCCGTATCCGGTCCGCAAAACCGCCAGAACATCTCTGTCGGCTAAAAGAGCCCTTACTGCTGATTCTTGCTCTGGTTTTAAAACAGTTTCTCTACCACTAGATAAATTCAGATCTCTCAAAGCACTCTCAACGACATCCACGTCTACCGCTGCCATCTCGACTGTTTGTTGATTTGTGAAACGCGCATTTCAATATGTTACTCATTACGGCTCAGCCAATCAGGAATTTGCGGACGCCAGCGTCCGCAGATATGAACAAAAGGGGGTTCTTAGAGCAGGTGTCCCCTCCCCCTCTCCCCAATCCCTCTCCCCTTTTTCCCTTCCTCCCTATCCCCTACCCCATACCCCTTTCGACGCCTGCTACGCAGGCTACTAGTGTCTGGTGTGGGGAATAGTGATATCACAGTTGGGAGCTCTTTTCAAAGGCCAAAGACAGTGGCAGAAGTCAAAATGAAGATTTTCAGACAAGTTGCATGGAACAAACCGGGTAAACAAACAAACAATTTGGTATCGGTATCTGGAACTTTATCTCCAACAATTAGTATCAACTTTAAAGAGGGTCGTACAGGGGGGGTCTCTCGCACGGTTCACGAACAGAAAAAACAGCGAATCACGGATCACGGCTATTAAAATTTCATTTTCCCGAATCACGAAAATAAACAAGTAAGGTACTCGTTTTAATAACCTTCTCTTACGGTATAAAGAGTGTTTGAAGAAAGCAAAATCGTTAAAGGCTAAGTAAAGGCTGCTTATCGGAAATCGCATACCTAAATCACCCTCGATGGACGACTCTGACCATTCGTCCACTTCGCTTTGTAACTGCCCGAAGAAACAACAAATCGTCTAAAGAATCTACCTCGTAATTGTAAGCAATAGGATATTCAGCGTCTGAGTCAGTGTCATACTCTTCCTCCTCTTCTACCTCGGCTTCCTCTATTACTTGAACATCTTCAATGACCTCGTGCGATGTAGAAGGCGTAACAGTCGTAACGGTCATAGCAGAAGTAACAGTCTCCTCTTCGACAGTGTTAGGGCTGAATGAGACTTTATCTTTAGGATAGTCTGATGTTCTGTTCCTTTCCAAGAAAATTAAGCGAGCCGACAGACTTTGGGTCAACGTAAAATACAATACATTCGACCCTCATCGTACTATACGTACTCGTCCCCTCCATGTCTCGGATGTTTCGATGTTTTGGATCACTATCCTTTGACCTCCAGTGACATAGGAGACCATAGGCATAGGAATAGACATCTGATCCATGATAGGCATGTAAAGCACGTGAATTTGCACAATGGATTACTTTAATTAAAGCGAAGTCTGTTACTTGTCACATTTGATGTTTTCAGTCTTAAAATAAGTCTTCCGGAGCACTCGCATCTCAAAATCACGCCAAATAGAGTGGTGAAATCACGAATATCGGTTAATAATTCAAGTTCTTCACGGGTCACGCAAAACCTTCAGATCCCGGATCACGAAGAATAATTTATTAAATTCACGTTTCACGGAAAATAAAATCAGCCAATCCCGCATCACGGGAATACCCCTGTACGACCCTCTTTAAATATTAACCGAAAATCCAAACAAGTGCGATCTATACAAATTTTATTTCTTCAGTATGTACAAGATGAAATTGACAGGCAATTAAACGATTTCTTAAGGAAATGAAGGATGACGAAATCAAGCTTTACATTTACATGTAATGTCTTCATTTAAATATCCTGTTTCAATAAAAGAATTATGCTAACAAAAAAAGATGTTGGAAATTATTTCCATGGGAAATTGAGCTTTAAGTAAAAGAGTTAGCTGACCGCTCCTGCAAACACAGATGTCTTTCCCGCTATTGAAAAAGAAATAACCGGACATAAGTGTTTGCAGGCTTTAAATTGGGGGTGGTACATATAACCCTGATGTGACAAAAGCTACAATAATATCAGCAGAAATGCACTGTTATGATCCACACAATTCTAGATCCCACTGTTAAGAGAATTCAGAAAGAACTACGTTACATTGCCAAATGGAAGCTTGGGTTCATCTTTTTTTACAATCAAAAATTATTGATTCATCAGGGCTACATTATCCTGTTGGAAGTTCGCTGTGAGATATGAATGAAGAGATAATTGAATGCCCTAAGCAACAATTGAAAGCTCAAATGCTTAAGGCTAGTAAAACTCACTTATTACATCACACGATACTATGGTGTTCTAAGAAGCTACATAAAATAAAAAAGAGACCAAATTAATCAAATACTTCCCCATGATACACAAAACTATCTTGTACTTTGTTACAAAAGACAGTAAAAATTGCCATTATATTACAATGATGACGTGGTTCAATTTTTGTAGGTGATAAAATTTTCAGCCAAAGGTGGCATAGTGCAACTGCAAAACTGTTTGATAGTAAGAGATAAACCTTTCAAGACAGTAAAATTTAAATATTTTACATCTCTGTTTAGATAATGTTTATGTCATTGGCTAGAAGGCAATGCAGGTATTTCCAAGTACAAACAAAACTGCATAAAACATTTGTAAAATAACATTAATTCGAAAGTAGATGTAAAAGAGAAAGCAGTGCAGAGAAGGTTTGGAAAAAGAAGAAGTACATGGTACAAAATGCTGGACTAACAGTGATGCAATTTCACACTACTTCCTGAAGGAATATTATTCATTCTCGCACTCACATATCCTTGTCAAATACCACCACTGCCTCCTTAAATGCAGACAAGAAGAATTTATTGTGTAAGTGCCTGCAGTTAAAGCTTTTGCTTGCATCTTTCTTAATGACTGTAAAATTTACATTTCTACGGTTAACTACAGGTGTTTTTCTTTAACCCCAAAAGTAGTGGTGGGGGAGCTAGGATTTTGGAAGAGTGACAATGATCCCTTTTAGCACAAATCATCACATGGACACAAAATATACAAGTGGTTAAACAGAAACCAATACAGTTGAAAACTTCTTTCTCCTGAAAGCTTTTCAGGCCTAAATCAAAACATTTTAAAATCAAATCTACAAGAAGTATGTACACAAGCAGAATTGAATTTTACCCTAAAAACCTGCCTGGCACATTAGTCAACTTAAACCTGTAGAGTACTGCTATAACTTGGCTTCTGAAAACTTTAACATACAAAACTTGGATGAAAACTCTTGATAGAAATATTTGCTTTTCAGGCCCAGTAGTTTCAAGAAATAACCCCCCTGTTTATAAGTGAGGTTTGCATTTTATTAAGTGTGAAAAATAGATCTGTGGGACAAAGAATGGCCCATAATAAATGTGTCTTTATCACAGAAGTGACCACAAGAAGTTCAACTGTACTGCTTCATTAATCCTTTAAGTCCCAATGGTGACTGACATCAATTTTCTCCTAATGATACCTATACATTGTCAAGAGATTAGGTTATGAGAATTATAAAAATGATCAAAAAGAAACTGCTTTGATCTTTCATCAAATTCTCTGAACACATTCTTTAAGGAAATATATAGAGATCAGTTGGGAGAATTTGTTTCTGGATATTGGGACTTAAAGGGTTAATACCACGAAAATGTCACTTTTATTGGGGTCCCTTAACCCTTTAAGTCCCAATAGTAACCAACATTAATTTTCTAACAATATCCATAGATTGTCAAGTGCAACATCTATGAGAATTAATCAAATGATCACAAAGAGAAAAATCTCTGATCTTTTATCAATTTCTCCCAACTAATTCTGTAAGGAAATGTATAGAGATCAGTTTGGAGAATTTGTTTGTGGATCTTGGGGCTTACAGGGTTCAAAGTAAAATAAACCCAACAGGAAGCTAACAAAGTGCCATATCATCTTTGCAATGTACGTGCTTGACCCTCCCCTTAAATGCTTTAAAAGCTGGCAAAGCAATAATAATGATGATGATGATACAGTGTAATAATGATAATCATAATGTCTACAACAAAACTCCCTCATTCTCAATATTTTTGTAGCATACCGGTGGTTTAAAATACTTTTTCAATTGATGGACCTGCATCTTGCAGCTTTACTTTTGCAATTTAGTTTTGGATAAAATAAAATATCAATGCTTTCAATTTTGCAAAAAATATAGCCTATATTTCACAGCTTTCTTCCATGATGCTTTAACACCACTGGTCAGACTTGCAAAAATATTATAGAATGAGGTAGTACAGTATTTTACAAAACAGATAAAATTAATGAGAGAAGATTAAATACAACAAAAACACATAAATGACATCATGCTGCACTCAAAACAGGTAAAATTACATGGATGCTTTTTTTCTGTAAACTATGAAAAGAGAAGTTCATCAACTTTCTTTACAGCTACTCTACAAAATAAACTAAACTGTATGGCAATAATATTTTACAGTCTCTGCAAAAGATAGTATCATACAAATATCATTTCTTTTTCCCTTTTCCTTGTTGTCCTCTTGGTGGTGTTACTGGACGACCAGAGTTCAAACCTCCGTATGGAAACTTTTTCTTGTCGGCAGGCTTTAGAATCTGTGGACATTAACAAAACACTATGTGAAAAATGGCACTGGGTTACAAAATAACCTAAATAAAGTTTGGTTTCTGTATGATAACTGCCATTCCAATGATCCTTGAAAAAAGAACTTACTATATGAAAAGAGGAAAACTGATCAGTGTTGACAGCTATGGCAGTGATGATTGCAACAATGATTAGACAGACTTCAGTTTAAAGTTAAGACTGATTTCTATCATGACAGTAAAAATTGCTGGACTTTTTTAAGGTGAGTAAGAATAGTTCATTGGCAGGAAGGGCTTGAAGAAACTTGAATTCTTCTAACATGTCCTTACGTACTGTTTAGGTTGAAGGATAACTTTCCCAGAATCTTGCCCTTTGCCCATTAAGCGAGTGGGCTTTAAGTATTGAAATCAAATTGTCCCAAACTACTGGACAGGACTTTTTTCGATCCCTGCGGTAAGGATGAAAAAGGGAAAAGGGGAAAGTAGTAGTAGAGCAAGTTCCTTGTCCAGCAGAATTCATAATGCACAAAATACAATCATTTTCTAGTTTGACAATTTTTTATTCTTTTATAGACATAACTGACAGTAATCATTCAAAGTACATTAGTTTTTACCATAATGCAAGATTCTAAAGCTAAACAACAAAAAAATATTCACCTGAAAGGAACACATAAGTGTTTCATCGACGCTCATCATGGCACCTGCATTATCAAATTCTCCACAGTAATTAGGTGCTGAAAATAGTGTCACTAACTGCCGCTTGGCAAAGAACTCGTAACCATCTTCTACAACCTGTTGTTTAAAACAATAATTATTAAGCTTGCTTGTTATACCAACATAAGACAATAAGAGAAATTTGTTCAACAAAACCCAATGGGCTTAGCACATATTGAAATATACGAGTCACCCAATGTTTGATAGTTTTTATCTATCATACAGTCTGTGTACTTTGAACATGCACTGCAATGGATAATATTCATGGTTGTCCTTGGCCATGCACAGAGATATGTAAACTATGGAAAAGTTAACTTCACTGACATAAAGTACCATTTACATGAAAAAGTAAGTTACCAGTGTTTTTGATTAACTCCATGCTTAATGATCAAGACTCTCACCTCAACAGTCCCGACTCACTTATTGGTAACAAGTGCTAACTTACTGGTCACTATGCAGACATATTTTATTGGCTTACTATGAAATAGAGCCATTTATACAGGAAAAGGGGGATGTATCTTAAATAGGACTTACAAATAAATCATTTATACCAGCAAATAATAGGGCCATTTATACGAGGAAAAATAAGACGCGTCTTAAATAAGACACGAACTGTACCATTTATACGAGCATGTCTTATCTAATAAGACACGTCTTAGCTAAGCCGCGTCTTATTTTAGACGAAATGTGCCGTTTATACGGAAAGTTTGCATCTTATTTAAGACGCGTCTTATTTTTCCTCGTATAAATGGCCCTAATGTGCATCTAAGCTAAGTCACATCTTATTTAAGATGTTATTTTTGCATTATAAAAAGTCTTCTGTAACATGCAATTTATTTTTCCTTGTATAAATGACCCTAACAAGTGAAATGTATGGTTTTGAAATTCAGACAAGAGAAAAGCATACCCTCCCCATAACAAATTTAGTTGAATGTCTGGAGGATAGTGCTTGCCAGGCACTGATTGTTCAAATGTTGGATGGCCCTAGCCACTGGATAAGTATTTGAGAAACCAATTGTGTTATCCACTGGATGGATTTTTATCCCGTGAACAACACCTTTTGAACAACTGGGCCCAGATATAAACCTCACCTGATGGGCTCTGCAGATAAGATCCAAGTCATGCTTGGCTAGAAATTTGGAGACAATATCTGGACCAAATGTGAATGACACTCCCCTGTCATTCTCGCCCCATCCTTGAACTTCTTTATCAGGGTCAGACCATAGCAAGTCACACAGTAACCCTAATTGACAAAATCAAATGAGATTACTCTGCATGAAATGGAAGAAACCACGTCAAACAAATTAGCACTGTCTAAGCTACATTATAATTATAATTATAAACTAATGAAATTACTTCAATAATTTCTTATTGATGGTGTCCCACAAAAATTTATGACACAGTTTTTGTGATGCAAAATTTGATTTAACTGAAGATGGTAACATAAGTTACTTTAATAATGGCCTTTGTAAAGAGCTTTAAACACCCTCTGTGGATCTTTCAATTCATAAATAAATCATGTACATTACAAGAAACTCATTTCTCTAGAAAAGTTTGGAAATGCCACCCTAATTGCCAAAACACTTACATGATGTGAATATCATCAAGACAGTTCATTAATTTCAGAAATACTTAAGATGGTGTTTAATCTGATAACCATAAAACTTAATCAGGTTTAGAAAACCAAGCTTTGCTTTGTTTTTGAACCCACATCCTTGCTTCTGCAAATCTGATAAAACTATTCATCTCCTGTTACCAGTAATATACTACTGCACAAAATAACCATATGCTGCAGCAGAGACTTATACAAATCTTATGGATAAAACTTGTTTTTTAACGTATAATTCCTAGATAATGCAGTGGCGCATTTATTTTCTAATGGAGCTAATCCCTTTTATCTGGTAGTTGCCATTATGCAATCTCCTCCAAAAAGAAGTGTTCTTGACAATTTAAGGTTAATTCACGCAGCTATTCCCATTATAATTAACTTCCATCAAATGGCAGCTCACAATAATTCAACTTAACTAAAAACTAGTATAAAAAATAGTATGATAAAAATATTAAATCACAACATGCAAATTTTCACTAGATTTAAAGCCACATCAAAGTATTATTGGTCATGCTTGAAAAATTGTTGGTATTTTTTCGCTCGGTAGCTTGAGTTAATCAAAAAAAATTGAATTGACCAAATGACATGATTTTCCAATCGTTTTTTTAAGTATTAAATATGAAAAACAGCAATTCAAGAAGTCTTCAACTAATCATTAATAATTCAGATTCGTCCAAAACAATGATGGCAAATCTAGTTAATTTCGAGCAAAACCAGAACACGATTAAAGAACTCGTAACCTTTAGACTCAACATGTGTAATTTTCCATCACTTCTTCAATCACTAAAGCGATAAACACATAAAATAAATATATTGACTGTGGCAATTAACCAACAAAGTCTGCTGCATTTTCAATACAGTCCAAAGTACGTAACCTACATACCGATATAGGTCACTGGAATTCAAGCGGAAATGTTTACAGCAACACGTTCCTGTAAGCTACCCAGCTCTAAAATGTATTTATGCCGGGTTTTTTGCGACATTTAAATCGGCTTACCTTGATCGGGGACATCAGTTGGTCGCATTATCCGCCGAATTTGTTCCATGGATTGTAAATCGGGAGATAAGCCTGGAAATAAATCAACAAAAATTTCTAAATACCACTGTCGCTTCTAGTTACTTCTCTACTCTTTCACGTGCGTTCTCCAGTTGGAGTATTCGTTAAACAAAGACAAGAAGTTACTATTGACAAAAACCAGTTTCAAACCTTTAAGAGAACTCACCTCCATGACAGCAAAATATTTTCTCGTCCAAGATCGCGGCCACAGGGAGACAGTTGAAGCAATCTGTGAACGTTTTCCACAACTTTATGTTGTATCTTCTTTTACCTGTAAGAAAAAAGTACCGAAAAATTTAACTACAAAACGTAATGCTCTAAACGTGAAACTCGTGCAAGCGAACGCAACGATCAGCAATTCAATTGAATTTCCAGCGATTCAAATAGTTGAGAATTCGAAAATGTTTACTTACATTCGTCGTAAAATCCATAAATACGATTAATACTCGCACACTCGTGATTTCCACGAAGGAGAAAGAAGTTCTCGGGGTACTTGATTTTATAAGCTAAAAGCAGGCATATTGTTTCCAACGACTGTTTTCCACGGTCCACATAATCACCAAGGAAGAGATAGTTCGACTCGGGTGGAAAACCGCCATACTCAAACAACCGTAGCAGATCATAGTATTGTCCATGGATGTCTCCTACAACAAATCAAATACAAAGGATAAAATTTTGTTCGAAATGCACGCAAATACGCAGAATAAAAGCTCACGACGGGAACACCGGCATTTTGAAGGCGTACTCACCGCAAATTTTGAGAGGAGCTTCGAGTTCTAGAAGGATGGGTTGGCTCAAAAAAATCTCTCTGGATTTTATACATAGCCCTCGGATCTCTGCCTCTGTGAGTTGGACGTTCTTTCCTGGTCTTGAACCTCGCACTGAAAGACAAGAAACGGCGTTAAAACTGTCCTCAGATAACTTCTGATTGACCGAACCCAACAGCCGAAGCGAAACTAACCTTCCAAAAGTCGAGCTATAATGCTGTCAACATTGAGCTTTTCAGCATCAGCCATAACCTATAAAGATTCTTCTAAGTTTAATGTGGCTAATATGTTCAGAAATATTTCGCAAGAGATTGGATAGTAGACTCGATGGTTCAAGATTCTACAAACTACGGAGTTCAATATAAAGATGGCGCCCTAAGAGAAACTCCGCTGGCGGCGGTTTTTTCACAATCTGTGACGTCAACGGCATGAATATTGCTATGCAAGAATTCACAAATTACGCAAATAAATATTGGACTGGACTTTGAGAAAAGTAAGGAATATGGAAAGTGAATTTTTTTAATTTATGGAACTTTTTTTTCACAAGGTAAAGAAAAAATTATGGGAAAATCGAGCATTCGGTGGTCAAAAGATTCCACAAACCGAATGAAATATAAATTTGGGAATTACACGGAATTTTCTCTACATTTATTTATGTACTTCCAGTTATTTTAATTGTTTTCACGCAGTTTTCGGAGTTCCTTTGAGTGGATGAATTATTTCTTGTTTGAGCATGCCAAAATAAAAAGTTTCACTTTATTGGCGGAAGTCGGGGGGTTTGTCTCCTTGCCAATGCGGAAAGAAAAAAGCCCGGGGCGCGAGGAAACCCGAGGCCCGAGGTCCCTCACTACATGAGGCCTGGCTACCTAATCATGCTTTGCTGGTTATTCTTTCATGTTACGCTTACGCCAAATAGACCTAGTGTTTCATATAACAGTAATAGAATGTCCATTCTCCTGTATACCCATGTATACCCTGTATACCCTGTACACCCATGTATACCTTGTATACCTTGTATACCCTGTATACCCTGTATACCCATGTATACCCATGTACTCCCAGTATACCCTGTATACCCTGTATACCCATGTATACCCTGTATACCCATGTATACCTTGTATACCGTGTATACCCTGTATACCCTGTATACCCATGTATACCCATGTACTCCCAGTATACCCTGTATACCCTGTATACCCATGTATACCCATGTACTCCCAGTATACCCTGTATACCCTGTATACCCATGTATACCCTGTATACCCTGTATACCCATGTATACCTTGTATACCTTGTATACCCTGTATACCCTGTATACCCATGTATACCCATGTACTCCCAGTATACCCTGTATACCCTGTATACCCATGTATACCCATGTACTCCCAGTATACCCTGTATACCCATGTATACCCTGTATACCCATGTATACCTTGTATACCCTGTATACCCATGTATACCCTGTATACCCATGTATACCTTGTATACCTTGTATACCCTGTATACCCTGTATACCCATGTATACCCTGTATACCCTGTATACCCATGTATACCCTGTATACCCTGTATGTACCCTGTATACCCATGTATACCCTGTATACCAGTATACCCCTGTATACCCATGTATACCCATGTATACCTTGTATACCCTGTATACCCTGTATACCCTGTATACCCATGTATACCCATGTATACCCATGTATACCCTGTATACCCAGTATACCCTGTATACCCTGTATACCCATGTATACCCAGTATACCCTGTATACCCATGTATACCCTGTATACCCATGTATACCCATGTATACCCATGTATACCTTGTATACCCTGTATACCCTGTATACCCATGTATACCCATGTATGTATACCCTGTATACCCTGTATACCCATGTATACCCATGTATACCCATATATACCCAGTATACCCATACCCTGTATACCCTGTATACCCTGTATACCCTGTATACCCATGTATGTATACCCATGTATACCCTGTATACCCTGTATACCCATGTATACCCATGTATACCCATGTATACCCATGTATACCCTGTATACCCTGTATACCCTGTATACCCTGTATACCCATGTATACCCATGTACCCCCAGTATACCCTGTATACCCTGTATGTATGTATACCCTGTATACCCTGTATACCCTGTATACCCTGTATACCCCTGTATACCCATGTATGCCCTGTATTGTACCCTGTATACCCATGTATACCCTGTATACCCTGTATACCCTGTATACCCTGTATACCCCGTATACTTATGTATACCCTGTATACCCTGTATACCCATGTATACCCTGTATACCTATGTATACCCTGTATACCTATGTATACCCTGTATTGTCTGTATACCCACGTATACCCTGTATACCCATGTATACCCTGTATACCCTGTATACCCATGTGCTCCCTGTATACCCTGTATACTCATGTATACCCTGTATACCCTGTATACTCATGTATACCCTGTATACTGATGTATACCCTGTATACCCTGTATACCGATGTATACCCTGTATACTCATGTATACCCTGTATACCTTGTATACCCTGTATACCCTGTATACCCTGTATACTCATGTATACCCTGTATACCATGTATACCGATGTATACCCTGTATACCCTGTATACCCTGTATACCCTGTATACTCATGTATACCCTGTATACCCTGTATACCGATGTATACCCTGTATACCCTGTATACCCTGCATTCCTTGTATACCCATGTATACTTATGTACTCCCTGTATACAGCTATTTCGAGAAAGGTTGTCGGAAAACATGTGCACGCGACAATCCCGAAAAGTAATATGGGATATGATCAATACACTGTTCCTGACACTGTAGCTGTCGACCTTCTTTTGTTGCTTTCCTTTAGCACTCGCAGACATATTTCCACGGCCTCAGCTGACGGCCTCTCCTGCCATTCTTTCAAATTTCTTTGAAAAACAGTGAGATCAAAGCCACCCACAATACCTTTCGGGTTTGTCGCGTGCACTTTTTCCGACAACCTTTCTCGAAATAGCTGTATCCATGTATACACTGTATACCCTGTGTGCCCGGTATACCCTGTCTACCCTTTAGTAAAAAAATCATGTTTGATATACAAAATAAATCTTTTTTGTAAACAATTTAATATTGAAAATAAATCAGTTACGTTTAAAAAAAACCCTTCTGCTTTCCTGCAGTTTGTCAGTACATTTTAGAAACCACCAAGTCAATCTGATAAGTGCAAACAAAAAAACTAAACTTCTACTCCACCTATACTAACGAAAAAAAGTACTCTGAATTCATTTAGCATATCAGGAAGCCTGAACATAAACGCATCGCCTTCAAATTTAAGATAGGAAATCACAAATCTGAAAGATTTACAATCCGCAAAACTCCCGAAGACCTAAGAATTTGTGATCACTGCAGTCTAAATTGTTGAAAATTAAATACACCTATTATTTCATTGGTCCTTAAAAAGTCTCTTTTCACTAAAATGAATGACGAAATACGTTATTTACAAATTAAAATACTAATGACAAAATCTGTTTTCTTTTTAATATTAATACTGATTCGTACATGCGCAAGCTTACGGCTACCTTCGTCTTCCAAGCATTTGAGAGACGAAAGAAGAATAATGATAATAATAATCGATAAATTATCCCATTCTATTATATCTGTAACTCCTTTGCAATCTTCGTCTTGATATTATTGTATTTCAGTGTACCGGTAACACCATGTTAAAAAATATATAGTAATACTAAATAAACTTATTGTTGTTGTTGTATTCTTTGTATTTCCTTTATCTTTCCATTTTCAAGTGCAATATCCTATAAATGCGATATCACAGCGACGTCAGTCATTAAATCGACAGATGATGACAATAGAGGGTCAATTGATAAGGTAGAATTCGTAGCCCTTTAATTATTGCTATCATATCATTTTATTTAATTCTACTCATGTTTCTAGAAAATTTATTTTAATTAGGGAAATGATCGCCAGGGTGAAATTGTCGAAGAATATGTTGGGATTTAATTTTATGGATATTTATCCATTTGTCGTTTTATTGTTGTTTTGGTTCAGTAGTATTTTAAATGAATAAGATCATTAAACAACATCGATCTAATAGTTAGCATTTCATCATCGATTTGTATATATTTACGTTTTACTAACATTTCAACGTACTTCATAATGTTTTATCCTCAACGAACTATTTCATTAAGGAGGCTGACGACCACCACACCTTTTAGCCTAAAATTGAATGACGAATAGTTTCAAAACCCTCGTTTGCCGCGGTTAGCAAGTTTTTAAGACTAAAAGGCTCTTCATATTCAATTCTACTTTCTAAGCCAAACTTTTCTTATTTCCTCAACCTTCAGTACTGGCTAGAATTTCAAACTGTAGTTTGGCATAAATTTTCAACCTAGCGAGTTGCATCTTGTTCGGAATCTTGTATTGTATTCAACTCTTCAGGACTTTTCAATTTCTCAGATTTTTGCCCGAACAAAGAAACCGTACTTAATTCCACATTCTTTTATTTTTTGGGTTCGGTGCAGCTGCAAAGCGCCTACTTTTCGCCTAAACGACGGTATTTGTCTGTGGGAACATTCTCTCTATCGTCTGCACTAAATAGAGCTCAGCTGAGAGCTGCAGTGCTTGTAAACACTTAGTCACTCGAATTTCCACCCTTGAGCTGAACCGACTATCAAGAATACTGGAAGCTTAACTGACAACCGTACGTCCTACTTTGAACCCACTTTAACGATCTGTCCCGTAGAAAAATTGTCTAGATATTTAAACAGATTTCTCCAATCCTGAGTATCAGATGAAATATGTGGACAGCAGTGAAGAGTGATATGTTAGCTCGGAAGGTTAACCTCGGTTTATCTGTCAACTTGTGCCCTTCCCAGGGGAATTCTTATTGATTTTTCATAGCAGTAACAGTTGTATTAGTTGGGAACAAAAACCCAGAAAGGTAAAGAAAAGAGTGATAACACAATTCGCCCAGAAATTGGCATACTCCTCGTCAAACTACCCCATTCCATACACTCTAGGCCACGTAAGAGAGGCTATATGTAACCCGCAAAGGATACGCGAGGACAAACTGGTCAGTGTGTACGTACTCTTATCATAGTTAGTAGAGGAGACTAATTAGGAAACCCGGCAAACATCAAAGTTGAAAACAATGGTGCTGTACTATGTTGGAAACTATGGCGTTCCATTTCCGCCAAAATTCAATGTTCTA